GAGTAAAATCCCTAGGGAGTGCCCACAAAGTTGGCCCGTGAACAGCCTTTGCTCCATGGGGGCACAGATAAGTAGCTCTTGTGGAGCCAGCCTACTTCTCTCCAGTGTCTGATATTTAACTGCTTGAGAAGCCCAGCGTATCTTCCTCACTTCCTCAGGGACCCAGGCAAAGCAGGGTGGCACTGGGAAGTAATTTGGGGCCAGGAGGAATACCAACCGGTGGCTGATAGAGGTCGTGGTACAGAGTCCTGGGCTGAAAGATTGAAATACATAGGCCCTCCCCTTCCTCCCCTGTAATTCTGTCCCCAATCCTTTCTTTCTTCTTGTATCCCCTTCCTCCCCTCTTCACACTATGCCACGCTAAAGGAAACCTCTTCACCATGCTTTTTTTCCCCCTGATTCTGGAGATCACCATTCTGAGGATGTCACCTGCGTGAGCAAAAAGTTCAGAGGGGCGTTGGTGCGTATCAGGCAGTGCTCTTATCATTTGCATATTCCCTGGCTCCTCCCTGGAGAAGGGTTGAGCAGGAAGACAGGACTGCCAGCTGGTTTTGAATGTACTGGGTGACCTCTTACCTATCTAACTACAGTGTTTTAGTGCTTCTGGGTCTCCCAGACTCTTCATAACTCAATTCCAGGTGCTCCCCAAACCTGTCATGTAGAGGGCACGTGCTTCTCAGTACAATATTTTCTTCCTGGTCTCTGCTCTGCTTCCTTGCTTGTAGCTATCCAGGAAGGAAAAGCTGGTGAGATGAGTCACCAATTCCCCTATTCCCCACTTCACCTCACCCCAGGACCTAAATATGAAATCCACACTGGCATGCACATCCTAGCCCAAGTGTGAGAAATTTTGTTTTAGCTTCTAGAACATAGGACAGGGCACTTTGCCAGTACTTGCATCATGGAGGATTCAATAGTGAGGATCTCAACATGCAAGATTACTCAGTTGTAGGACATCTGCAGCCTTTGCCTGCAAATCAGATACCACACACCCAGAGGACCCACACTCACTAAGAAACCTTGTCACTTTGGGGGGATTCAATCTTGTTCCCAAGCCTCCCAGCCTATGCACAGATTTCCCACAGAAAATGGAGTATTGATGGGGCAAATTTCAGATCACATCCTCCTCTAAGTGAAATTTGGGAAGTTGGGGTGGTTTGTGGCAATGCCCAAGCTCCATAACCAAAAGTGGCTGGCCAGCAAAACAGACCATTTCCTGTTTAGCACTGCAGTCATGCAGCTGCTTCTGGGAGCTGGCTGTGGCTGAGGTCCTGCTAGAGTGCAACACAGAGCCACAGTCTTAGTAGGTTCCTGGAACACACGACTGATACTAGGAGACAAGGAAGGCAGACCCCGAGTAAAGGCTCAGACCCCTGGGCAGAGCAGGTGCCATTTGTTTCCGGCAGGGTATGAAGCTACCTTACATTAAACTAAATCTGGCCCTTTCCTCCTCATTCCCAGGCTGGGAGGCTGGATTTTGTGTTCTCTTTCAGACAACCAGAAACCACCTGTCCATCCTTCGAGACCACAAAGGCAGCAGTTCTCACCCAGAATGCGGGGCTGTCCCTGGCTAAAGCTTTCTTTGGCTCTTGGTAATGTGGCTTCAAATGAAATGGTGGATCCATGTGTAGATCAAATGACTCCTATGATTTCTGCTCACCATCTCACATCCCATAGCTACAGTTAGCTCTTTTCCAATTAGCATTCTAAGCCTGCATGGTTGCTGGGTTGTGGGAGGTGTCACACAGAAGAGCAAATGAGTGCATAGGTGGGAGGAGGCCTTAACATACAGAAATCTCTCCTTTTTTCTGTCACTCTTTCAAATAAATAAATTATAATAAATTAAGCTTTGCTATGGAATACATATGACAGGAACATGATTAGGACATCAGCTGGGTTGCCCTCATCCTGTATCAGAGTGCTTAGGTTTAAGTTCTAGCTCTTGTGCTGACTACAGCTTTCTGCTAATAGAAAACTTGAGAAACAGCAGTGATGATGACTCAAGTAGAGTCCTAGCCACCGGTGTCAGAGATGCAAATCGAGCCTTCTGCTTCTAGCTGTGAGCTGCCCCAGGTCTTACTGCTGTGGACACTTTGGGGAGATAATCTGTGGATGTGAACCGTGTCTGTTTATCTGGAGGTTTCTATGCCTCTGCCTTTCAAATAAATGAACAGGGCCCTGCACAATGGCTCAATGTCTAACTCCTCGTCATGCATTCTCCAGGATCCTTTATGGGTGCCAGTTCATATCCGAGCTGCTCCACTTCCCATCCAGCTCCCTGCTTGTGGCCTGGGAAAACAGTAGAGGGTGGCTTAAAGGCTTGATACCCTGTAGCATGTGGGAGACCCGGAAGAGGCTCCTGGCTTCGGATCGGCATAGTATCGGCCCGTTGCGCTCACTTGGGGAGTGAATCATCGGATGGAAGATCTTCCTCTCTGTCTCTCCTCTCTGTATATCCGCCTTTCCAATACAAAGGTAATAAAAAATAAATCTTTCAAAAAAAAATTCAGAAAAACTGTTTCTATGTAAATGTATACATTTTATACCAAATACAACAAAAGGCTACAGTAGATAAGAAAATATTATACTAGCATAGAAAAAAATTCATAAGCCAGTGGAACCAAATACACTCCAGAATCAAATCCTGTTCCTTTCCAACAGTGCTAAGAATGTACATTCAACTAAAGAACATTCCTTTCAATAAGTTGTTCTAGGAAAATGGATATCCATATGCATAGGAATGAATCTTGACCCTCTCTCACCATGTTCATAGTTCAATTCAAAATGTATTTAAAACCCCAATGTAGGACTTTAGATTATTAGAAGAAATCTTAGTAAAATGCCTCATATATGTTTTTAAGATTTCTCAAAGTTTATTATCTGAGCACTGCTTATAGTATCATATCATAGGAATCAAAGATGTAACTTAAAAAACTTAAATAAACTTTTGAGACTCATTTCCATTCCTTAAAGCACAATCCAATCAATAAAACAATACAATTTCCACATCAAATACAAGTCAGTAAAATAATTCCCCAAGTAGTGCTGCATGAGTTACAACTTTACCTCAACTCTATCATTATGATTTGAGATTTTCTAATACGCAAGAGCACTAGACTGGGTGGTTACTACCTAGGCAAGAAAACAAATGTATCACCAGCAAATATCAGAATTAGGATCATGGTTGTCATGTTAAACTCTTCTGGTTAACAATATTTATTAGAGTGTGCACTATTCTAACCAGGAACTGTGTCACATTTGTAGAGGTCAATACTCTTGATAAAATAACTTGGAAGGATCTATATATACCCTAAATTTAGCAAAATACTTTATTATGTACAGAAACCTAACTTATCTTGGGTTTGGGTAACTGACGAAGACAACTGCCAAATAAATTCGTCAGGGCTTGTTTTCTATGAATATTGAAAACCAGTCCCTGATCTTGGATGCATTCCATCTAGGTACATATTCAGACACTTCAGAGAAAAGCAAACAGCTGCACCTATCCACTCTATTCCATTCAAATTCTTTAACTTAATGTCTTATATTACCTCACATGTTGAATAGAGCCCACACATTTCAGCGTGGGATCAGACCGTTTGCTTACATTTGAAGCCACGTGAAGGTTTTATGAAGCCATGTGTGGGTATTGCCTTGGGTAGTCCATTTCGGTACTGCCAAGTTCTTTGGAAATCAGAAAAATGAAATAATCTACACCATGTAGATCCTTTTAAAAGCTGCACATGGAGGACACCTGGTACCATGGCAGAGGACGGAGGACAGAACAAATTGATCAACTGCCCCCAGCCAAGTGTTGGCAGTTAAGATCTGGGCAGATGGAGACACTAAGGTGGACCAGAGCAGCCAGTGGATTCAGGAGATTCATCGAGGCTGGAGTGGCGGGATCACTTCAAAACCTCTTGAGAAATTTATGGTGTTGTGAATTTCTTTTTTTCTTCCTGTTGGTGATTCTGTATTATGGCTTTTCATTGAAGAGGAATGTGTGGTGACTGTAATGGAGACTATCGTGTCCAGATGTGAGGATGCAGTGCAGTGTGCATCTCTACTTCCAGATCAAAGATGGACTCCCAATGAAACTATTAGCTATATCTTGACAATGGGAGGCTGGACTCTCTGCCATTATCCATGCCTGCAATGTTGGACATGTGAGTGTTTATGAAGAGCTATGCTATACTAATAATATAGGGGAATGGGGGGGTGGCAGGGGAAATCCCAGGGGCTATGGAACTGTATCAATAGAATGATGATAATAATTTTAAAAGAAGTTAAAATAAAATAAAATAATATGTATATATTTTTAAAAGCTGCACATGATTTCAGTGTGCCTTCAGTGACCTAGTTAGTGCAACCCTATTAGAGTTGACATCAAAAAAGTAATAAGAATGAACCAAAATTCCTAATGCAAGGAAAACAAAAGTCTGTCCAAGTAAAATGCATTCTCAACACAGAGTATGAATGTAGTCTGCAGCATATCTTCTTGATTTTCCATTCAGAAAGTGGAGACTGCCTGCTTGATTATTTCCTTTTCTTTCCCTAGCTTAGGTATATGCTGAAAAAGAATTTGTACATGCTGTCATGAAATTAAAAATTCATTTATATGTACTTTAAATCACTCAAAATTGTAGCTTACATGTATATGATTTCTGAAAATAACACTTTTAATACAATTCTGTTCTGTAAAAATATTTTACATAATGCGTATAATCAATTTTTACTTGATTGGGAAGTTTCCTGCATCAGTTTTCCAAGGATAAATGTGTGCCGCCTAGTGTTCAATCTCTGTAACTACTAATCTTACAAATTCACAATTATTAAAACTCATTTTTTTAAACTACATTTTAGAAATGGTTCTCATAGATAAATTCAGGGCAAAATAAAATCATGAAAAGAATGTGTATTATACCAAAATTAGTATAAAAATAGCGATATACTACTTAAATACAAAAAACAGACTTTTTTTTTTACTTCACATGCAAATATGTACCCTTTACATTTTATTAAAATGTCTAGAGAACACCTACGTAACTAGAGTATACAGAAAAACTGTACAGTCTAGTCCAAACCAGGATTTACGCAGAGTCCATAATGAGAACAACACAAATGGCTGATCCAAGACATCTATTTACGCAAAGGAAGTGGCTAAAGCAGGAAAGGTAGTGATGCAACTTCTTTCACAGATGTGGTCTTCTACCCATAATTTCCATTACATCCAAAGAGCAAGGTGCGCTTAATATCCCATTTAAGATTATTGAGCATTACCCAGTTTTCAAAGCAACAAACATCTTAAAAATAATAAATCAGTCTGTCTTAACAAATTGCAATCATGCTAATGAAATTTGAATCTTCTCTTAAGGGTCGTGGCCAAATTCCAAACTGTGGGACAATCTTCAGAAAAACTGGAATGTAAAATGTTGAGTTCCATTTAGATCTGAAAGGGAGAAAAACATCAGGTTAAAGGAAGAGTTTTACATTCCATCAGTCCACTACATATGAGGGAGAGTTTCATCACCTTAGGCTATCAGGGAAACAAGCCTAGTCTGATGAAGAAATTTCATGCATCAGGCATTTCTCAATTCTAGTCTGTTAGTTAACAAATCTTTATGCTCTCACTGGTAATGTTCTATTGTGCAGCATATTTTGGATAAAGCTCAGTGTCTCCCTTCACGTTTGTAGTAGCTTGGTGATGGGGGTCCACATGGGCGAGTAGGATGTCTAACAGGACCAATATGTGGCCAGTGTATTGGTGCAGAGGGAGATGCCATGGAATACAACACTGGACTCCCACAAGTGTCACAAGTTTGTGTCCTAGCTGCTCTACTTCCAATACCAGCTCCCCGCTAATGGCCTGGGAAACACCAAAGATGCCCCAAGTGCTGGGACCTCTGAAGTCCACATGGGAGAGCCAGACGAAGGTCCTGGCATCAGCCTGGCTCAGTCCTGGCTACCGCAGCCTTCTGAAGCTCTCTCCCTCTCTGGAATTGAATTTCAAATAAATATTTTAAAAATGAGAAAAAAACCACAGGGCACATCTGACCTTATTGTCTTCCTAAGTCAACTTGTTACAGCAGTGTAACTACGTAGTTACACTGTGCAATCTTGGTGCTATCACACATGGTTCCTGAACCCAACTCCCCAACACCAGGCTTTATAAAAAAAAAAAAAAAAAAACCTCCGGTAATCATATTGCACAGTCTTGGTCAGGAACAACTAACTACTTTAGCTATTGTAAAGTATTAGTAAAAGTAAAGCATTGTAAAGCATTAGTGGAATATAATATACAAGGTGCCTTGTGAATGACATCTTAGGTAGAGGGTTGAGAAGACAGACCCAACTTCTGATATTAGCCTAATTACTTAAGTCAATTTATGCTGCTAGAAGACCAACTTTGAATTTTATTCAAATATAATAAAAGCAAAAATACAATGCACATACATGCCTGTGGGTACTATTGCTTTATTATTAGGAAAAATACTTGCCTCAAAATAAATACACCAACTAGAAATCAAGAGTCTGCCAAAAGGGCACACCCATTGAGACATACTCATTGGCAATAGGCTTCCATTTTAACAATGCTTTCAAAAAGCATGTGTCATAATTCCAATGCTTCACAAGTTGAGACAAGATTTTTCTTTTACCATTAATCATGAAGGCCTGTTCCTTTGATACGATCTGGTATTTCTCAATCGCCTACCAAATTTCTTAAGATCTAGCTCTTCAGATATTTATGCTTCTATGGCTTGGCATTCATATTGCAAAACAACAATTCATATTTTTCTGGAGAAATCATGAAGAGGATTGTAAGAATCCTGAAAGTCAGAGTTTGACTACTTCTCTTAAAAAACTGAATATTTCCAGCCTTTGGTAAGACTCAGAACATAACAGGAAGTATGATACATTATTAGAAAGAAAGGAATCTATTATGGGAAAGAGCTGGTTTCTCTGTGGATTTCTGTTCATGGAAATCCAAACATGAGGTGCATCTACTTACATCATCAATATCTTCATCATCATCTCCAATGTCATCAAACTGGATTTCATCATCATCTCCGGGACCAAATGTATCAGTTTCATTGATTTTCGCTAAAATGACAAGCACACACGCTCAATATAATCAAGACATCATTAAACAAGCAACTTAATGTAAGTGGATCGCACATCCAATATTGCATCACAAAAGGCTACCCATCCAAGTCAGCCTCCTGACAAAAGGGAAGCAATGCTCATTTTAAGAAAAGCTCTCGGCCCAGTGGCGTACCTAGTGGCTAAAGTCCTCGCCTTGAATGCTCCGGGATCCCATATGGGCAGGCGCCATTTCTAATCCCAGCAGCTCCACTTCCTATCCAGCTCCCTGCTTGTGGCCTGGGAAAGCAGTCAAGGACGGCCCAAAGCCTTGAGACCCTGTACCCATGTGGGAGACCTGGAGTAAGCTCTTGGCACCTGGCTTTGGATCAGCTCAGCTCCAGCCATTGTGGCCCACTGGGACAGTGAATCAGTGGACAGAAGATCTTCCTCTCGTCTCTCATCCTCTCTGTATGTCTGACTTTGTAATAAAAATAAATAAATCTTTAAAAGAAAAAAAAAAGAAAGAAAAGCTCTCCTGCAGCAGGCATTCTGGCACAGCACATGAAGCCACTATTAGTGGCACCAGCACCACACAGTGTCAGCTTATGTCCTGGCTGCTCCACTTCCAAGCCAGCTCCCTGCTGATAGCATAGGGCATCCTGGTGTGCATGAGGTGAGGACTTTAGCCACTAGGCTATTACATCAGGTCCACAAAGGCATTTTTAGTAAGGCAGTTTACCATCACACTAATTCTGAAGCTTTTATAATCTTGAAAATGCTAGCATTATGGGACTAAGAAAAAAGCAAGTAAGCACATGCTAGTCTTATTCCCATGATGCTTAGTGTTTTCAAGATTAGAAACATCAAGAAAGTAACTGTTGGGCCCAGTGTGAAGGCTCAGTGGTTAAATCCTCTCCCTGCACATGCCAGGATCCCATACGGGCACTTGTTCTAATCCCGGCAGCTCTGCTTCCCGTCTAGCTCCCTGCTTGTGGCCTGGAGAAACAGTTAAGGACAGTCCAAAGCCTTGGGACCCTGCACCTGTGTAGGAGACCCGGAAGAAGCTCTTGGCTTCAGATTGGCTCAGCTCTGGCTGTTATGGCCATTAGGGGAGCTGAACTCCTGTGGCCATTTGAGGAGTCAATCTGCAGATGGCAGATCTCTTTCTGTTACTCTACCTTTCAAGTAAAAGAATTTTTTTTTTTTTTTAAATTAAGCGATACTAGCTCGGCACCTGGAGGGAGAAAACAGACTATTGGTTCTAGTGGCTGAGCTTGCTGAACTGCACAGCTGGGTGCCCAGGCCCAAGCACTGCCTCTGATCCCAATTCCAGCTTCTGGTCAGTGATGACCTGCGCTGAGCTCCGGGCTCCTGGCTTCAGCTGGACCTAACCTTAGCAGCTGTAGGCCCTCAGAGTGTGAGCCAGAGGATGGAATATAGTCTGTCTCTTGCTTTGCTTTTTATTTAAAATAGGTAAATATTTAAAAGAAAATTTGGGATACAGAGTTTGGACATGATGGATTCAACACCATAAAAACAAAGAATAATGTGTAGCTATTTTCCTTCTTTTTTAACATAAAAAAACCCCGACAATCTATAGAATTTCAAAACAAGTAGTAGAGAAGCATTATTTTCTTTTTAAAAAAGATTTATTTTTTATTTCTATTGGAAACTCAGATATACCAAAAGGAGGAGAGACAGAGAGGAAGACCCTCCATCCACTGATTCACTCCCCAAGTGGCCACGGCAGTCAGAGCCACACCGATTCAAAGTCAGAGCAAAGTCAGGGTTCCCCATGCAAGTGCAGGGTCCCAAGGTTTTAGGCTGTCCTCCACTGCTTTCCCAGGCCACAAGCAGGTAACTGGAAGAAAGTGGGGCTACTGGGATTAGAACTGGTGCCTATATGGGATTCCAGTGCATAAAAGGCAAGGACTTTAGTTGCTAGGCTACCGTGCCAGGCTCAAACATTATTTCCTTGACTGACACTAAGCCAAACTCCCAGGCTTTTAACTCAATAACAGAAGAATCTCTATTACAAACAGAATTCTAGTATTTTTTTTTTCTTATAGCATCTACCATTATAAAATATATGCAGGCCGACTTGAAACTGATCCTGTTAAGTACAAAAATAAATGCACAACATTCCAGCCATATTCGTTCACCTAAACAGATGACATTCGTGTAACCCAGACATTACCGTGCTCTGGCAGCTCGCCATACGCTTTCAGACTTCTGGCTTCATCTGCATTGTACTTTAAAATTACATCAGCCTTGTTGTCCTTAAATGGAGACAAGTAACGTATAGAATTGATCATGATAGAAATATTATCAGCCACATAAAATTATATTCAGATTGAATTAAAAATACAATCTCTCTGTCCTATTGCAAAGCCTTCTCCATATTTTAAATCTTAGTTCCTTCCTAACCTCTGAAAAAACCTCACTTACATACATACATACGTACATGATTAGATGGATGAACAATAAGCTGAAGATATTTATAGATCTGACTTCAGTCAGAACTGTGTACATATAATCTTTTAATTATTATCCTTTGATTACAAGTCTTTTGAAACATTAAAGTTTCCTGGGACCGTAATTTTCAGGGTGATCAAACACTGCAATTTAAAAATCTAAACTTACTAGAACAACCTCAGGAAACAGACCTTGCTTCTTAGGGTATGTCAATCGGAATCTCCTGAAGCCAGACTCCAAGTAAAGTGAAGTTCAGGAGTCTTCTGCCCTGGCTGGCATGGCACAATCAGGGAAGCTCAGTCCTTTCAGAATCTTGCTGTCTCTACCCATCAATTATTCTCACATCATTAAGCAAAAGAGGATAACAAACATTAGAATTGTGTAAATTCAAAACAGGTATCTTCCACCGTGGTGTCAGTATGTGGCTGGCGATAGTCCTCCCCTCACCCAGGGTTTTTTTTTTTTTTCTTTTGACAATCAGAAATGTCTCTAGACACTGCCAATGTCCTGGAGCACATAATCACCCATGGTTGATAATCAGCGACTTAACACAAAGCTCCCAGTGTTGGCTTTTATTTTATTTTGGAACATACATTCTAAATATCAAAATAGAATCAGGACCATAAAAAGATAAGCACATGGTGATACATTTTTGCAGGGGAAAATCAAATTAATTTCAGACTCAATGAGTCAGGGTAGAAATAATAAAGGCCAACTACCATTTCCCCTTTAAGTGCTCATCTCCACTGCCCACACACTCCCGGCGCTGCCTGCACATGCCATTACTCACGCACCTGTCTTACTGCCTCCACCAGCCGGCTGTAAGGCCAGGTGGAATGGAAGCTTGACTCACTCAGCTGCATTTCCTCGAATAAGAGTTCTTAGATTTTGATTCAGACTCATAAGCTAAAAACAGAAAACACTCATCCCAAAAAGGAGGGAACTTCTGGGATCACAATCTATCTCACTCAAAGGCTCTTAAGAGATGGCTTCAATAAACAATGAAAATTATAAATGATAATTACCTGATAGTCTCGGAGGCCAACCAATATAATGTCGGAGGTATTTATCCAAACCTATAAAAGAAGAGTCACTGCATAAGCATCCCATCTGGGCACCAGTTCTAGTCCTGGATGCTCTGCCCTAATGCACCTGGGCAAGCAGCGGGCAGGATCCAAGTGCTTGGGTGCCCCTGCACAAACGTGGGAGCCCTGGAGGAGCACCTGTCTTCACCACAGCCCAGCACTGGCCTTTGTGGCTATCTGGGGGACTGAACTAGCAACTGGAACATTTCTCCCTCCGTAAATGCCTTTCAAATAAATAAATAAATAAATATTTTTAAAATAAAAATCAAGATTCCAGAGTGGGTCCAGCACTGCAGCACAGGGGTTAGGTCAAGGCCTGCAGCACTGGTATCCCATAATGGCATCGATCCATTTCCCATCCAGCTTTCTGCCCATTTCCCTGGGAAATCAGAAGACAGGCCAAATTCCTGGGTCCTTTCACCCTCTTGGGAAAGACACATGAAGTTCCAGGCTCCTGGCTCCGGCCAGGCACAGCATTGGTTGTTATAGTCAATTGGGGAGTGAACCAGCAGATGGAAGATCCTTCCTTCCTTCCTCTTCCTATCTTCCCTTATCTTTCTGTTAATTCTGCCCTTCAAATAAAAATAAAAATCTTAAAATTGCAGAGTAACAATGATTGGTTTACAAATTCTCTGTGGTTGTGAGCTATGAAGTGGTAACTGTCAAGTTCATGAAAACACAACGGTAAAATGGTTTTCTTCTTCCCTTTCTTCATATCCCAGGGCCCAGAGCTTCCAAAAGAAACAGAAGAATTAGTACCTCAAGCTTAAATATCTATTTAAACCAGCATGCTTAATAAATCTGCTAAAGCACTGTGATGGCTAATTAATCATCACGTCACAAGGCAACCCACTCATGATCACATTTGGAAAATGTAACAGTAATTCAACATTTACCTAACAGAATTCATCTTCATAGCTTTTAACAGCTAACCCCCCAGCCTCCGTAACAGATGGAGACAAGAGTCACATCCTGTGAATCTACCAGGTTTTAAGTTTCCTCGATGCTCGAACAGTTTCCCAGCATCAAGCTTCCCATTCTATTAAAAGCTGGGCAGGCCAACTGATTCACAGCAGTTCCATTATTTTGGATTTACCATTTACTCAACATCTGGATCCAGGTTAAAGCTTTTATACGAGGTTGCCAACACGGATGATGCAGAAAATCTGCACTAAAGGTCATGAATAATATTACAGGTAAATCAAACATATGTGAATCAGCAATTCACAAAAAGCAAGGTTCTTAACACATAAAATTCGCAGAGGCATTTTCACTTTAGTCAACTGTACATTAGAAAGAACAAATTTCCAGACCTACCTTTTTTCTCAATTTCCCTCTGATGTGACACAACCTCTTTACACCATCAAAACACATTGCTTCTAATCTTCCATTCCCCAACATTTTGATTACTTGAGCGTACTCTGGGGGGGGGGGGGGAAGAGCAGAAAGGAGGGTATGACATACTGTTCACTTTTGACAAAAGCAACTGAAGAACCCACACAGAGTGACAAAAAAGACAGATATACTGAATGGGAATAAATATGCATAGCAGTAATTAGACAAGGGAGTTATAAACATCAAGCTAATGTCAGAACCATAACCAAGGTTCTAATGAGATTACACATGTTGAGTAAGTAGACTGGTAGTTGTTTTCATGACTGTCTGCTCTATTTTTAGAAATCAAAGGTGGCCTGTTCTGAAGTGTACAAAGCATCAGTCTTTCACAGGCATGGCCAGCACTGAGTGTCTGGCACAGTGGTTAAGACTGCTTGGAACACCAGCATCCCACATGGGAGCGTCTGCTGCTTCCAAGCCCAGGTTCCTGCTAAGGGGGGCAGCAGGCGAGAGCTGCCGCCTGACGCCCGCATGGTACACTGGATTGGGCAGGCTGGACTGTTCTAAGCATTTGGCAGTCACCTTGGGACAAAAAGATCCAAAGATCACTCTGTGTCTCCCTCCCGGCCTTTCAAGTAAAATGAAACAAAAAGAAACAATTTAAAAAAACCCTGTCCAACCGTGAATCTCCTTTTCCTCAGAAATCTTTGAAGGACATCTTACAGAATTTTAGTACAGTTGTCAAATAAAAGAAATTCAAAAGTTAACATCTTGTTAAGATAATTCTAGAATTCTCAGAAAGTCAGTAAGATATATACAAGTGAAACATTATACTCTTTGTTTTTCACCCATGCGGGTGCAGGGTCCCACTGGTTTCCCAACAAGCAAGGGACTGGATGGGAAGTGGAGCAGCTGGGACCCGAACCAGCACCCATATGGGATGTTGGTGCTTAAAGCTGGAGGATTAGCCTGCTGAGCCACCACACTGGCCCCGAAACACTAAACTTTCGGCCAGGAGCTTCTAACCAGCATACCCAGGAAAGCATGGTGCTGAAACTGGCTCAAGTTACTTAGAACACAGTGAGCCCAGAGCCTTCAAGGTGAAACCTCTCTTCCAAAAACAGGAAAATATGAACAAGCACTGTCTACTGAAGACAAACGCTAACTGAGGCAAGGATGAAGTCCTAGAGACTTGTTTAACTTTTGGAAGTTTATCTGCACAAATAAATCTGCCAAAAATTCTATAAAAGGAGTGGGCATCTGCCCTGATGGTGAAGACCTTACTGTGCCCTATCAGAGCAGCTGGCTATGGCCTGGGCTCAGCCTTCCAGCTCCATCCTCCTGCCAATGCAGCCCCAGGGAGGCAGTGGTGACTGCTGAGGGATCTGGGCTCCTGCCAGCGACCAACCATTGTGTGCCTAGCTCCAGCCCCAGCCCTTACAAAAGAAAAGCATAAATTGTAACAAGTTATTTGCAAGAAGTAGCAGGCTGTTAACTTGAAACTGGAGAAGGAAGAGATTTAAGGGTCTCAGAGTAATCCTTCCAATATCCACGGCCTACTGAATACACTGCACAGCACCATTTGCTAACAAAACATTCCACTATCAGTCCCAATACTTAAAGTATGAAGCATAGCTTTCCAGGCTGAACTTTGTCTAAACCACACTCCCCAGTGCAGACTAAGTAGATCAGGAAATGATTACTGAAAAAAAGGCTATATAGAAGTTTGGGTAGGAAAAAAAAAATAGAGAAGAGCAAAATGGACAAGAGGTTTACTACTAGGATTACAAACAGAATCCCTTATACAATAAATTCACAGAGCACAAGTCCATGCTAAAAGCAAAAGATACTGCTTAAAAACATCTTAAAAGGATTGGTGCAGTGGCACTGCTTGTTAACTTGTCAACTGCAATGCTGTAATACAAGCCAAAGTTCAAGTCTCTGCTGCTCTATTTCCAATCTTATTCCCTGCTAATGCATCTGGAAAAGCAGCAGATAATGGCCCAAGTATTGAGCCACCATGTGATAGACTCACATGGCATTCCAGGCTCCTGGTTGGAGTCTTGGCCTCTCCACTTCTAATCCAGCTCCTTGCCAATGCACCTGGGCATGCGAGACAATCCAAGTGCTTAGGCTCCTGCTGCCCCCATGTGGGAGACCCACACAGCTCTTGGACCTGCCCTGGTTGCTGGGGCCACTTGAGGAGTTAGCTAGCAGACAGAAGGTTCTTGATAAACTGGTCGCTCAAACACTTACCTTGTCCATCCTCTTTGAACACCAGTTCTCTTTTTTCAGATTCATTTTCATTCTTACCTCTGCGTCTGTTTTTACCTCCTTTACCTACAAGTTGGAAAAAAAGAGAAGGGAAGATATTAGTTATCTACACAGTGTGAAAAGAGGCTAAATTAAGGCTTATAAAAATCAAATTTAAAAATTCACCTAATTTAGTTATTCACAGTGAGCTTACAACTACCAACATTAAGCATAATTATGTTATCTTTCTATCCTTCTTGGAATTTCTTTTGGGATGTTGCTGACAGCAAACAGCAGGTAACATATACTGTTACACAGAAAAATATTCCACTTCAGCACCCAATCTTTCCAAAAGAGTACAACCCCACACATATTTATCAAAATTGAAGTCTCAGGTGCTTTTAAGATTTTAATTATTTGGAGCCAGAGCGATAGCTTAATGGCTAAGTCCTTACTTTCAAAGTGCCAGGATCCCACAAGTATGCTGGTTCGTATTCTGGCTGCTCCACATCCCATCCAGCTCCCTGCTAGTGGCGTGGGAAAGCAGCGGAGAAGGATGGTTCAAAGCCTTGGGACCCTGCACCCACATAGAAGACAGGCTTCAGATGGGATCAGCTCCGGCCGTTGTGGCCACTTGAGGAGCGAACCAGCAGATGGAAGATCTGTCTCTCCTTTCCATAAATCTGCTCTGCCTTTCCAATACTAAGGGGGAAAAAAGCTTTTTAAGGAATTTATTTGAAAGGCAGAGTTAGTGGGGTAGATGGAGACAGAGATCCTCCATCTACCGATTCACTCTACAAATGGTCACACGTCCAAGGATGACTCATGCCAACGCCAGGGACAGAGGCTTCACCAGGCTTCCCATGTGGGTGCAGGGACCCAAGGACTTGGGCCATCTTTCACGGCAAGGAGGTGCACAGATGTGGAGTAGCTGGGATTCAGCCTGCTGAATGCCAGCTCCCTTTAGGGGTCTGCACAAATTAAGTGAGCAGTGACTGCACAGAACTGTGGTTTGCAACCTTTCGGTAGCAGGACAGTGCAAGCACTGTAATCTCTATTCAAAACTTGACTTGTCCGTCGTAGGATCAGTTAACAGCAATCATTTATTCCTGCCAATTGGGTTCACTGAAGCTCCCAAGATACTCACCTAAGATTCACTCCTAATCCTTTTTTGTTTCTTGCCCTCAACATTATTTTGTTCCAATTCCAGAGTCTAAAAGGTGGGAGCAAAGCTCTAAGGGATTCACGAAGTTAACAACTAAACAACCTATGGTGGTTAAGACATCTGTTGGGTCTATCAGGATGTTCTTGTCCTATGAGGGAGGCCATGGGATCCGTTCCAGGCTCTGAGTCTTGATCCAAGCCTGAGGTACCTGGCCTTCTGCCAGACCTGTCCAAGCCTCCAATTTGAGTTCCTGGGGAGTGAACCAGCTGACATGAGGCACCAAACACAGGAAGTGCTTGGGCAGTTCGTGGCTTCTGCTTTCCAGCTTAGCCTCTGCTGCGGAAGGCTTAGGGAGGGAAGCAGCTTCTGAAACACCTGTCTCCCTCCTTCCAAAGAAACAAAAATACTACACAGACAGACCACTAGTGTCTTATTTAAAGCACCCCCACTCTCTGCTAGGGATGTCTCCCACTGATGTAGCTATTGTTATGGGGACTCTACAATTTCCTGGCCCCGGAATTAAGGCCTTCTTGGAATATTCAACATCAGAAGCTCAGACCAGAGGCCAGGATCATGCATAACTTCACTGATTATATACCTGAAAGTCTTACAATGAACCAAGAATAGCCCAAAGGTTTGGTTATTTAAAAATTATATGTCGTTAAGTTCTTCAAAATAAGAAACACTATCCCAAGAGCTCCATGAGAGCCTTTTCTTTTTTCAATTTGAGGACAGGTTTCTATGATTTTGTAGAGGAAATAAGTTCACAGAATCAGTTCAAAGTACAACTCATCCAACACATAGTTCATGGGAATGTTTGCATCTATACAATCATCACATTACATTTACAGGGCATCTTGCATTCCAACTAAGAACAAAATAGAAAAAGTGAATTTATTTCTATATCAGCAAGTTTCAATTCATAAAATTCAGAGTCCCTGCAAAGTAGCCTTCCTCTTAAAAAAAAGAAAAAGAAAAAGAAAAAAGGCAATTAAGAAGCCTACTGGGTTTTACCTGTGTCTGAATGAGGAAACCCTGAGCCCAGCAAGGGTGCTCCCTTTTGCGAGAGTCAAAGCAGGAGCACAAAGAGGGCATGACCACAACTGGTGCTACTTTTTCCTTCTTTAAATATTTCTTGATTTGAATGGCCGACTCACAGAGAGCAAGGGAGAGACAAGAGCCCTCTCTTGCAGCTGCTGGTACACTCCCTGCGTGGCAGTGTGGGAGCCAGCAGGAAGTCAGCATCCCAGGGTTGTACCTCGGTCTCTGCCAGGGCTGGCAGGGGCACATGCGAGCAGCTGGACAGGAAGCAGAGTAGGCCAAACTGCTAATTGCACAGGACGTTGGCCTTGCACACGGTGGCTTACCCACTGTGCCACAATTCCCAATTTTCAACTTCAGAGTAATAGATTCCTAGGTACTCATTGTATTATCTATTTTTTTGTATGCCTGATCATTTCCAAATGTTCTCATGATAAACATTACTGCAACGATCAGGCAACTATGTATCTTAGTACAGAAGCCCTGTTCCTTTGGAACAAAGGGGACCCTGTTATTTACCTAAGTAAGGGTGGAGTGAACAAGACAAATGACATGGTCCAACAAATATTTATTGAGCATCTTCTTAGTGTCAAGTCCCAGCCATTCAATGTGATTAAGACAGATACTACTCGTGCCCTTTAGAGCATCACCAAAATCGGGGAGGGGGGGTGGGAGGAGAGAATAAGCTACCCTGGATGTTATATAAAAAAAAAGGCATTGCACAGACTAGAAGCGAACTCCAAGGCTTTCCAAATACCATGTGCATCATTGTGCCTTTACTACCAGTGTGATCTGTAAAGCAGTGTCACCTGGGTACTGCACAGGACTCCCAGGACCCTGAGGGGCAGTGAGCTGCAACAGCTACAAAGAAACACAGGAGCCCTAGTTGGGGGCAGCGGTCCCCAGGGCGGATGATCAAAGAAGATACCGCCTCACTCCCTCCTCTGCCACTCAACACAGTGCTCTTTCTCCTGCTTTCACTAGCTCAAGTTGCCTCGAGAAAAGATAGTGATGTTTTAGAAAATGGTAAAAACAATCTGCATCTACACAAAGAAATTTCTTCAGGAGTGCCTCGCTCTCTCTTCCATGACGCCTTCCACTTGGAAAACCACAAACCAACATCCCAGAGTCCGAGCATTTCTGCACGTTCCACTTCAGAATGGAAGGGAACTTAAAGGGCTTTGTTCCTACAACACATGCATGATCTGAAGCAATAGTGGAAAACTTGGCAGAATACGGAGCAAGTTCTTTCCCGGGTGAGGGAGGTGTGAGGGAATAAAGTTAAACCCTGGGAAGCGATGGAAGGCAATCAAACGCCACAGCTGAAACCTTAAAACACACACACTAGCTTTCGCCCACGGTTTCCGAGGGACGCGGAGTGGCCTCAATAATACCGAACAAGTGCCTACCAAGAAGCCGGCCAAGCACCTGACGGTCCCGAAAAGCAAGCATTCCTCCTTTAAAGTTCAGCACTGCTTCTAAGGGCTGAATTCCCAGGCCCGGTAGGGACACGAGGACCCAGCTGGAAAGCCGGGGCGCTTCGGGGGACATCTCCCTCCGGTCGCTCTCATGCCTACTGAGTCTGGCGCGAAAGCGAAGCAACAGCCCACGTTCTCCCACAGGAGGCCCTACAAAAATGGCGTCGGCTCCACCCCAATGTGACCACACTGGGAGATACCAGTAACTTCCTTACTGCCCTCCCAAGGCACGAGTCGCAGGCATGGCACCCAGCTCGGAGAGGGGGAGATCGGGACGGGAAGGTCATGGCGGCCCGGGCGACGCGGACAGCGATGGCAGGGAGCGGGAGCCCGGTGGTGCCGGGGTTGCGGACCTCATTACCTTTATTCTTCGGCATGGTGGTGACGGTGACCTCGCGCCGTTTCTAACTGTTGTGCTGGTGGGTGCTGGTGTCGGTGGTCGTGGCGGTGACGGCGGCGCCGACCTGTCCGAGGCTGCGCTCCAGGCTTGACGGGCGGGAGCGTGCGGGACGACACGGCGCCGGGGGACCGAGCGGCGTGCGCGCGGGAGCCTCGCGGTGGACTTCTCCCAAGATGCGCCGGCGCCCACGCTCGGCAGCGGCAAATGGCGTCGCGGCTGCCGGCGTAGCTTTGGCCCGCCTCTCGCCGCCGCAGCGCAGGCGTGGCCGGCCGACCTTTATTGTTAAGGCCGAGGCGACGCGTTCTGGGAGTGTTCGCTGGCGGCCGGGGGGCGGGGGGGGGGGGGGGAGAACGTGGGTGTGGTGGGGGAGGGGAAGGGTGGGGGAGGGCGGGGCGGGGCGGAGGCCCTCTCACCCCCCACACCCTCCCCCCCCCGGAGGAAATGGGCGGGAGGTGGCGTCACAGTCCCGGGCAACTTGATGGCGCACGCTGCTGCTGCTGCTGCTGCCAGCCGCCGGGCTCCTATCACAAATCCGCGACTCCCGCTTTGACAGGTTGCTGACTCATTGAACCCCAAAGTTAGCTCAGTTTTAACGTGGCTCCCAACGTGGAAATGTGACAGGAGGGCACGCACGACCTTTTCCGGTCGCTCACCCATGACCAAGAATATTAGGGGTGGCGTTTGTTAACAGCTTTTAAAAAGTGCTGCCTTTCCTATCTCACTGCCTCACCTCATGAGGCAGGAGAGCACACGGATGGCTTATGATTGGCAGCACGTGGCCGAATGAGTGGCACTGAGCAGGTGTCTGTAGACTAACAGGAAAGACAAGAATTGAGAGGAAAGGAGACGTAAGCCCCGTGTTATCTGGATTGTGCCCCTGAATTGTGTCTGCTCCACAATTTCGTCTGTGAAAATTCTAACCATTGTTGGCTGTATTGGCAGCTAGGATCTCTAGAGCATTAATTTGAAATAAGGTCATTGGGGTGGAGTGTGATCCAGTCTAACTGGTGTATCCTCCTAAGAAGAGGATACAGAGACACAAGCCAAGCGAATAGCTCCTGAACAACCAGGCCAGCCCAGCGGGGGGAAATGGGCCTGGGAAACAAGCAGGGAGTGCCAACACTTTGTGGCACCCCTAGCCAACTAATACAGCTGATGACGCTGGGAAAATAGGTTTACTTTTAAGTATATTTATTCTATTTCAAACATATTCTGGCCCGGCATTGTGTTACAACAGCTTAAGCAGCTGCCTGCGACCACAGCAGCCCATATGGGTGCCAGTTCTGTCCCAGCCGTTCCACTTCCCATCCAGCTCCCTGCTTGTGGCCTGGGAAAGCAGTCGAGGATGGCCCAAAGCCTTGGGACCCTGCACCCGCGTGGAAGACCTGGAGGTGGTTCCTGGCTCCTGGCTTTGATTCCCTTTCTCTTTTCCTCTCTGTAACTTCTGGCTAAATAAATCTTTAAAAATTACTTACTGTAGTTATTTGAAAGAGAGAAACAGAGATCACCTAACCTTGAAGGCACACAACAGGTGTACGCAGAAGCCAGAAACAAGGAGCTTCATCTGGGTGTCCCACATGGGTGGCAGAGAGCCGGGCTGCATCCCGGGATGCAAACAGCAGGACTCTGGGACAGGATCCGAATCTGATCATGCAATGCGGGTGCCCCGTAAGGCAGCGTAACTGCAGTGGCAGTGCCCAACCTGTGCATCTGTTTCATTTATCTTTATTTGAAGGAGAGCAGGTGCTGACCATTGCTGTTGCTGAGTCCCTGTTGCCTGTGGGGGCGCTCTGGATTCTGTTCGAGTGAGTCCTGGCGTTTATCTTCTAGCCCAGACAGTTGTGGGTCTCTGGGGAATGAAGCAGCAAATGAAGATCTCTGCTTTTTAAATAACCAAGTATTTAAAAAGGACTCAAAGGGATAAAATGTAAAGCCCTCAACTTGATTATGTTTTGGTGATCAGGGCCTGGCCTGTGTCTTGAACTTCCTGTCTAACTTCTTTTCTAACATGTTAATCTCTGGGTATACAGAGCTTTTTTTTTTTCTGGTCTGCCATTAACTGCGTCCCTATACATTCTGTTCTAAACAGTCCCCCCTTTTGCCTTAATGTTTATAGTTTCCTTAGGTCTGCCCCAATCCCTAGGCAAGCCTGCTAACATATTTCTACAGTATCCTGCCTGTCGTTTAGCTAGCTTTTCTAGCATGCGTTGATTCTTTTAATTTCAAGGGCATTAACAGGGCTGTAGAAGCATCACCACAGCAGACAGGACTACTGTGTCAGCCTGTCTGGAGAACCCACCAGGATAATCCCGGCAAGCTGACTACTACACCACAGAAATGTCCTTGGAAGCTGAGAATATGCGAGTCCTCTGGCCATAAGTGATTAAAACTGCAAATGTAATTTTTAAAAGTTTTATTTATTTGGACGTCATGCAGAGAGGGAAAGGTTTTCCACGCACTAGTTCACCTCCCACATGGTCACCATGGCCACGGCCAAGCCAGGAGGGAGCCGGGAGCCAGGAACTTCATCTGGACCAAGCGTGGTAGCAGGAGCCCAAGCACTTGGGTCATCTTCAGCTGCTTTCCCAGGCCATGGGCAGGGAGCTGGATCTGAAGTGAAGCAGCCAGGAGAGGAACCAGCCTGCGTTAAGATTATCCTAGCAGCCTCTCCAACCTACCCTGCCCCGCCTCAGTCTGAGAGGCAATTATTTGCTCATCACTTTTCCTTCTCCTAGGGAGATTATTTTCTGTCACTCAAGTGTGTCAAATCTAATCACAGGTGAAGCAGCAGAAGGCAGGGACCAGAGATGCACACTAGGAAGTTTCAACCCATCATTGCTGGTTAGAAGGTGGAGGAAGAGGCCTTTAGAAAGTGCAAGAGGTAAGGAAACTTCCTCTAGAGCCCTGAAAATGTGTTGCAGTCCTGCTAATACTTTGATTTTAGGCTAGTGAGTCCTGCATCGTAGTTGTGCCTTGGTGGATTATAAGATAATTGATATGGGACAGTATTGTGGCATAGTGCGTTAAGCCTCCACTTGCAATGCCAACATCCTATGTGGGCAGCAGTAATCCTGCTTCCTCCGTAATTCAGCTGCCTACTAATGCACCTGGAAAAGCAACAGAAGGTCCAAATTCTTGGACCATGGCACCCATATGAGAGACCTAGATGGAATCCCAGGCTCCTGGCTTCTACCTGGCTCAGCCCTAGCAGTTGCAGCCACTTGGGGGGTTGGGTGAAGTAGAAGATGGAAGATCTCTCTCCCTACCTACTTCTCTAACTCTGCCTTTCAAATAAAAATTTCAAAAAAAGGTAAATTGATTATTAATCCAAGTGGACATCCTTAACCAGATGATCTGGTGTGAGGAGTGTCCTCCAACCCCCACACCTCAATCCCCCATATCATTACAACAGTGATTGGATTCAAATAAGGCTGGGGCTGGAACATCTGACTTTGCTTTTTGGAAGCTGCTTGGAACGTCGGCATCCCATGTCCCAGGGCTGTTTTTCAAGCCCTGGTTCTGCACCCAAGTTCCACTTCCTGCTGCTGTGCATTCTGGGAAACAACAGTGATGGCTCAAGTCCCCCACCTGGAGACCCAGTGTCTGACTCCCTTATTCCCATCATGGCTGTTGTGGACACGCTGGGGGAGAGACCCAGCATACAGGCACTCTGCCTCTCAAGAAATTAAAAAAAAAAAAAAAAACCCACAAGCATTTTGATCTTGAACTTCAGCCTCTAGCCTCTTAAACAACTTCATTGTTTAAGCCACCTTGTCTGTAGTTTCATAATACAAAGCTGCTAAAAGGCATCAATCTGCGAAGTGCTAACTTCAGCTGTAGATAACCCACTCCCTTGCTGCCCTGAGCCGATCGTCCTCTGAAATAGGGTAACTATACTTATATGAGGAAAGGAAACAAAATGTTCTTCTTTCTAAATCGCTTTTATTAAGATCAAGTAATTGAACTCATGAGGTATGGATGACTGGAAAATAGGGACTCACTTAAATTATGTAAACAATGAAGTCTAAAAAAGGCACTGTTCAGGGCCCGGTGTGGTAACCCAGTGGTTAAAGTTCTCGCCATGCATGTGCCAGGATCCCATATGGGTGTTGGTTCTAATCCTGGTATCCCCACTTCCCATCCAGCTCCCTGCTTGTGGCCTGGGAAAGCAGTTGAGGACAGCCCAAAGCCTTGGGACCCTGCACCCACTTGGGAGATCCAGAAGAAGCTCCTAGCTCCTGACTGCGGATCGGCTTAGCTCCGGCTGTTGCAGCTGCTTGGGGTGTGAATCATTGGACGAAAGATGTTCCTCTCTGTATATCTGTCTTTCCAATAAAAAAAAAAAATCGCCATCAGCTTGTCCCAGCCCTTGCTGTTGTGGCCACTTGGGGATGAAGCAGCAAGTGGAAGGTTTTTCTTTGTCTCTTTCATCTGTCTTATATAAATCTTTTAAGAATTCAACATTTTAAAAATCTGTGGCTCCTTTTGTTAGATCAAGGTCTTCACACACACTGTGCTCAGAAGGAACTTGCCCTTTAATTCTAAATAAAAAAACTACAGCATAAGAGAAAATGAATAGGGCAGTGTGAGACGTCCCTGAGGTGTCATCTCCGGTCCCGATTAGCCTCTGAATCATTCATCAATTTGATGTTAAGACTTATTTTTTATGTGAATTTGATTTGACAAAACCTTTGAGCAAGCCAAGATCATGCACAGCAAAACTTTGCACTCCTTACCTTGGAAATATTTCTGTTTTAAATACTATCAATCCAACTTGTATAAATACTTTGGATGTATTATAAAGAAATAATCATAGTGGAAATGATCTGATAAAAGTGACATACATGCATTTATTTCAAACTTTATTATATAAATTTTCATTTCTTTTAAAGATTACAAAACCTGTTCCATGACAGGAATACAAGCAATATTGTTCCAAGATTATTCATGGATACATCTGAGAGAGCTTAGAGTACACATTAATAGTATGATTTGCAAATTTCCCAGATTAGATTCTAAAGTAAAACAATTTAAACTATTCAGTGATATTTGATCCAAGCATTTCATAATTATGGCAGCAGTGCCAAGCATCTGATGCGATTTATACCATCAATAAAAGGTACAATACATAAGAACTCATGATATGGTAATTTGGGCTTCTGGCATGCCTTACATGAGAGAAACTAGTAATAAAGTAAGATCATATATAATAGTAGAAAAATATTTGTGATTTTTTTCTTTTTTAAAAATTGTTTAAGTAGACCCCACCCATATCCCCCATGGCCAAAACTGCCAAATAATTACATCCCTTAGGTGTATGCCTTCCTCTTTTTTTAGGGCAAGAGAAAATAAAACTAATACATATATATAATTTAAGAGTTAAAAACTCATCCCTCACAATCATTAAGGATGCTAATGAATGGCAACACTTGAAGCCTTTATTTTTAAATGAAAAAACAAAAGCTTTAGATGGTAAGCCACACTTACAGAAACACAAACCGAATTCTTTATGCTTTATGCCCTTACTTGCATTTAGAAATTCTATTTTAAATCCTTGTCTGAAAAACTCAATATACAGTTCACGCAGTACAACAGTGATAACAGGAGTAAAGATGTTCACTTCCATTAGATATTGAACTAATCTACTTAGGACTATATCAGCAACTCTCTTCTCATACGCATTTACATACACTGTACTCACATGGCATGTTGCTCTAAAGAAGTCTTCACCTCTAAAACTGAAATCTCTACGTTTTCCTTTTCACTAATCTCTAGTCAAAATGCCATATGCTTTGCTAATTGTTCTGGGAGAAGTCATGGACATTTAAACAGCTTATCATGCAGTTCAAGGTTATATGGCAAAATAAAAAGAAAGTGCCTTAGGAGGTAGGAAGTAGGCTCTCATCCCAATCTGCTATGCTCTGTTACGAACAGTTGCAAGACTGGAATCAAAGTGGTAAGTATGAGCGTGACAGTAATACCAGGCTTAAGAAAATTAGGTTGACTTAGTTACTCGAGTTCTTTGAGAACACTCAGTCACATTGGAACCAGTCACTGGATCACAAAGAATACAGCAGTGTTAAAAGTACATAAAGTACACTGAAGACAAAAATTCTTCTTGGCCATCCGTATTTGAGTATTATCGTTCTGTAGATTCTTCACTCCAAAGTGGTTAAATGTGACTCTGCAGAATACCACAGTCCCAAGAAAAGAGAAATTCATTCCTTCATATACTGGTCTCCACCAATGGCCACTGGGGGAGACCAGCAAAACGTAAGCAATCTTGGGTTGAAAAGAGGAGTATTTTCATTAACTGCAATGATAGTACTGAGTTCAGTCAACTTAGCTGTGAATTAAAGAGGCTGAAACATATATATCCAGTTTAATGTTAAGTCACAGGGAGTTGGGCCTTTCGGAGACACAGAACTCCAGGACTAGATTCAAACCCCTAGCTTTAAGCACCAAGGTCAGTCATGGATTTTGCGATATCTGTTCATGTTCATCATAGAACATAGACCTTTTGTAACCCTTTGTGTTCCTGAGCTAGCCAACATACCTTCCAACGTATTAAATGCTCAATACCTCAAGACAGAATTTTCTCTACAAAACATGGTGAATCGAGCTGAAAATTTTAGGACAATGCTAAAGGCCATGAAATAGAGAATCTCAAAGTCATGCTGACATGTATAACCAAAGCCCTCAAATCTTGAAGGTTTTGTTCTTTTACCCCAGGCTGGGCTTTCCTACCAAGTACATTCATTCTGTGAATTCTGTGAAGCCTTTATATCCACCAATGCAGTTTAAATCTTTCCTGGGACAAGGATACATGACAGAGGAAACTGGACAGTTCCACCTCCCCAGGCCTTAGTAGTGGCCACTTCTTAAAAAGTCAGTGTGGCCTGGGTTGACTTGAACTTGCTCTTTGGATCACACTGTATGTGAAATGAGAAAATTGACCCTATATTCACCAAACCCACTCTCCACAGACACTTGCAAGTTTCTTTTCCCACACACCACACCACTCTAACAGCACAACTTCATGCCTTGTCAAACTCATTACACTTTTACTTTTGTGGTTGCTTGTGAATAAATGCACTTATATCAAAAGCTGTTCAAAATCAAAGGCCTTCTGTATTTAGAAGACATCTCTATAAATTACAAAGAGCTGAAATCATTCAAACATTCAAAACATTCAAAATAGAAGTGGGGAGGGAGAGGAGACAAAGAACTTACCTTAATTTAACATCATCACTCCAAAGAGAAAATAGAAAACCCAGGTTAGTGTAACTTGTATTTCCCAGTATGTGCCTGGCAATGTTAAATGCAGTCTTCTATTTTGGATTTTATTCTACATTATAAACTAAGAGGACGTTTGTAGAAGGGGCCTGATGGGTTCATTCTTTCACAGTGAAATATGAAAGACTGGCCTGACACCTCCTCAGAGAAGCCCCAGTAACCACCAGCACTAACTGGTGAAGGGGAGAAGCCAGCAGGTGCCCCACTACCACAATTCAACATCACAAAGAGATACATTTTGAGAAATGAATGGAAAGATGAATCAAACAAAACCACTATTTCTAGCACACTCTTGTCCACTACAAATCAAAAGCAATGAGAACACCAGAACCACAGATGAAAGAAATAAATTATGTTCACAAACTTGCTTTTCACGCAAAACATTTTCAGCTTTGTAAACACATAATTTGCTTTTCTTCAATAAAACTGGCAGCTTGACTAGAGAGAAAAGGCATTTGATTCTGAAAGAAAGAAATGATATCCCATATGACTAGCAAACTGCCCCAAGGAATCCAGTTTTTTTTTTGTTTTGTTTTGTTTTGTTTTTTAAAACTCAGTTACTGGTCAGGTGAAACCACGAAGGAAAGGCAGCATGGTGTTACAAGGGAGGGAAAGAAAAGCTAATGGGGAAAAGTTAAGGATTCTAGTCTTTGATTTGGGCTTCAGCCTCTTATACTGCAATGTGACAACACTGGGCCTATTTATGGTGCTGACCTTAATCCAAAGACATATTATAGGCAACACATTTAAGCAATTGTGAAGTAGCAACAGGATCAAAAACCTGGAAAGTTTTTTGATTTTTGTTTGCTTAGCATTACATTAACATTTAACAAGTGACAAAGAATTACAGAAGATCATGGTTTGAAACACCGAATAGACAAGGGGAAATAAAAGCTTCTCCCTAGATTTGATTTTTCTCTTTGCATACATTTTCCATTTAGAGGTTGGATTTTTATGCAGCAGTCATTTATGTCACCTGGACAAGAGGAATTTTATAGATGCCCCCCTTCTTCTCCAATTACATGGGAGAAATTTTGGAATAACAATTGGCTTTCAAGACATTTAGGCGAGCTGCTTTCTCTGTTGGCTTTATACTCTCCATGGAAGAGTTAAAATGTCTGGCTGAAAAAAAGATTTCTGATATGAATGGGTTAGTACATGACTAAGAATGATCTATTTGGGTACATTCTTGATGAGGTAAGTTAAATTATTCTTTCCTTGCTTATATATCTTTTACATTACATGGTGATATATACTAGGTAACTTGGCAAAGATAGAGTTTATAATGGATACTTAAGTTTATTTCATCAGTTAAATTGTGGAAACTGCCAAACTGACATAGGTAACAACTACTGCCATCCAAGCTAACCCAATGGCCATTATGAAAATGGAGCAGTTTGGAAATCAAAGGAAGTGCTATATGGCCAGAATCCTCAGGAGGAATTCAGAAAACACCCGTTGCTTAATGTTCACGCAGACTACTTTAGCCATGAGTTCAGGTTCAAACAGATATTGTTTGATCAAGAATGTTTTATTCTCTAAAATAAGAAAGTTTAAATCCAATTTCATAGAGGCCTGTGGCCTTTATTACATTCAAATTAGTGTTTATGTAGAATATCTATTTAAACATGAACTATATCTATTAGGACTTCAATTACCTGTGTCTGAGTTTCCCTTCACCAATCTCTTACCACGATTCTTAAAGGCCTTCTAGGTAATTGGCAAAATCCCAAATGATATGCCAAATACTAAGTGTGGATACAAGACTAAAAGTGTGAGGACTACTTCCTTAATTAAGGAAAAAAGAACCCAAAGGAGTTGCAAAGTATATGGGCTAACTTTAGAGATGTACTCTTGATTTCATGCCAAACACATATGATAACTTTCTCTATCGTAGCAGCTCTCTAAGTTAGTCTGACAGAGCACCTGACTTTAGAAACAAACCAACCAACAAACCAGTGAAACAGACATGGGGAAAGATATGTACATTTGAAAGCATTACATTCAACAGCTGTTTCACAATCTGGCCATTTTTTAGGGTTGTCCAACAATACTGCTAATTCAGGTGAACTATTTAACCAGATTTAATAGTCAATTGGTTAATAGATTCCAAGTTAAACAAGGCATGTATACATTAAAGAAAGCAGTACAGAAATGTACTGTATATGAACTGTTTACAAAAACATACAAAATGTTGGATGGCACAAGGGATACAGTGCTAATATAAACGGATTGTTTAAGCTAAGTGCTTAACATAAACTGTCCATCCCTATAACTAACAAAGAATATTGAAGGGACATGAAATATCTCCTATAAAAATAATGCTATATGGTGTAAAGTACTTTATTCAGTGTATTTTAGGTGGTATTCATATGTTCATTATTTTCTTGTTGATTGTGTGAATATATCTTCATCATGTTTCCATTTTCATTTCATCCGAAGCTCCAGGAAAATCTACCTTGCTAACAATCATTAAAGCGAGAAGAGACGAAAGCAGGAGCAGCAGCAGGAGCAGCAGCATTGTGGGTACCAGCTGGGACAGTGTGTGCTTGCAGGTGTCTCTCAGATATGTGCTACCTGTCGCCAGAACTTGTGCTATCAGCTTACACCATGGTACCAAATAGCTCACTGAGGTCACTTCACAGGGCTGTTGAGGTGATCTTTTTAATACCTCTCCGCTGAGCAAGAGTGGAGCGGCCTACTGGTTCCAAAACTGGGGACTGGTTACGGTTTAAGGCAGAATATGTAGCTGCCATGGCACCCTGAAAAAACAAACAAACAAACAAACAGAAACGGTAAGAGCAAACATGACATCACAGAATCACGCAGAGAGAATTGGAAAATGAGTTTTTCAGGTTATTTTTTCATATGTATATGCATACAGGTATTATTAAGTTCATGATGGAAATTATCATACTGGTCCAATTCCCGACACAGGCCAATGTGGTGGCGGGGGTGGAGACTGTCATGGGAGAGGACAGGAATGGACTTAACAAGCAGTCCTCACTTCTCCCAGGATGATTCAAGTTTTCTTCTTGGCAGTCCTCTAATATGAGCGTCAGGAAGCTATGTTCTTAAAGTTGGGAAATGCATGAGTTAACTGATACAGGAAATTTATTTACACAGACTGACAGAAATTTAAGAGTCATTCTGAAATAGTTTTTACTTTTAACCTTTTGCCATGCCCTTGACTTTTGCTTTTCTACGTCAGTTACTGGAAAAAAATTCCACATTGTAACCAGGCATGAGCGGGTATGGAGCGGCTCTGCTGGAGTCAAAGGCAGCCTGCCTTCCTGGGGGACATGGAGGGTGCCCCTCACCTTCACTAGATGTGGCGCATCCTGTCTGTTCAGTTGGTACTGCGGCAGTTGGTCCCAGTGGACAATCCAGGGATGTCTGAGCACGAGAGCAGCAGTGAGTCTCTGATGGGGGTCCACGTGAAGCATCTTGGACACCAGGTCCTGTTGTGGGAAGAATAAGGACAAAACAAGCTTCAATTACCCTCCCCCATTTCTTTTTTAAAAATATTTATTTATTTATTTATTTTTTAAAGATTTATTTATTTTTATTACAAAGTCAGATATACAGAGAGAAGGAGAGACAGACAGGAAGATCTTCCGTCTAATGATTCACTCCCCAAGTGAGCGCAACGGCCGGTGCTGTGCCGATCCGAAGCCGGGAACCAGGAACCTCTTCCGGGTCTCCCACATGGGTGCAGGGTCCCAAAGCTTTGGGTCGTCCTCAACTGCTTTCCCAGACCACAAGCAGGGAGCTGGATGGGAAGCGGGGCTGCTGGGATTAGAACCTGCACCCGTATGGGATCCCCGCGCATACAAGGCAAGGATTTTAGCTGCTAGGGCACCGCACAGGGTCCTGAACATTGTCCATTTCTATGGTAATTGTTATTAGTAAACACTGCTCAGCTTTATGACCCCATATTTTCCTGGAAGCAGCCTCTGGGGTCAAAGCAATTTGGTAAATATGACACTTCAGTCTCTATTTTTTGCTCTTTCACTAACACTGATTTTGATATATGAAAATGGCCACATTTTCTCTATCTTTAAGTACTCTGGCGCTCTTTTTCCTTGGATTTCTTCTTTCTAAAAAAAAATTATTTAATTGAAAGGCATAGTGATAGAGAGAAGCAGAGACAGGCAGACAGAAACTCCCATCTCTATCTGTTGCTCGTTCACTCCCTGAATAGCCACAACCACTGAGGATGGGCTAGGCTGAAGCCAGGAGCCAGGCACTCCAACTGCGTCTCCCATGTGGTGGCTGAAACTCAAATACTTCATCCATCATGCTCGTTCCCAGGCACATTAGCAAGGAATTGGACTGGAAGTGGAATCGCCAAAACCCCAAATGGGCATATGATGGATGAGAATTACTGCTCTATGGAGTGTTCTTTAAAAATGAAAATCTGATCATTGAATTGCTAAATAGTTTCAATTCGTTAATACCAGCAGAAAGCCTACATCAGCACAAGCCCCAAAGCCCTTTCACAGTTTGGGTTCCTCATCTATTTTCTGTGTACTGCACTAGTTAGACCGAATGTCTATTCTCACACCATCATCACCTCGATGCAGGTGCTACTCCCTCCGCTTCAGACACGCTGCATCTTTCTCTTCGCTAAATGTGCATGGCATAATGTAGGAGGACAATTGATTCGATATCATTTGAATGGGAATAATTGACTGGATATGCAAAACAAAGAGAGAGATTTTCAGACAAGGGTATGGAAATAATTGATGGGTTCCATAGTCAGGCTTATGGGAACTATATAAGCTCCTCAATACCTCCTCCCTTATCCTTTGTGACCCTCAGTCTATGAAAGCCTGATGCCACTAATAAACTTGGGCTATTGACCATCAGTTGGTAGCCCCTGTGTGTTAGTATCAGCTCCATGCACCAAGTCCATTGCTGCAGGGCAGCAAGCAGTATACACTGCTTTGAGAAAGTTTTCCTTAAAATCCTTCTGATTGAGCACCACCCATCTCAGCATAGAAACTGTTCTACTGTTAATAGTATATGTGACAATGCACTATACAATTTTTGACTGTGAGCTCCATAAGAGCGGGAACTTTCATCACATACTTTTATCTCTGGGGCCTTTCATGTGTTAAGCATATTGCAGATGTTCAATAAGGGAATTACAAAAAGAAACAGGTACCCAAAGAAATTGTCTGCTTTGGGAAATTTTATTGTGAGAAAAAGGCAAAGGCCAACATGTCATTTTAAATGCAGTTATAAAGCCTAATATCTATCTGTAGCCATTAAATTGGATAACTGAGGTCTCACATGCTATGCCAAAAGAATCTATACAAATGTTTGATGTGTTCTATTTCCTCACAGTCAGCTGGCCTCACACTTCTCCAAGTACTTCAAGACATTCATGGATGACATAATCAAAGATAGGGTTTCTTTGGTGCAAACAATTTCAAAATGTATGCACATGCTTTTCATAATAAGCATATTCATGAAGTTTCTGAAGACCCCAGGCATGCATGGATTTCAAAACAGTTCCTAACATGGTGAATTTATCTTTTATTTCGATCTTTCTACAAACTTTCTGAAATAACTTGTTTCTTCAAATCATGAAAATTACCATTATTATTCATTAAGTTTGTGTCTGTAAGAGCTTCAGATGTATTCATAAGGCAGGATTAATGTCTTCTGGGAAATGAAACACTCAACTCATTTATGAGTTTAAATTACACAAAAGTTTTGAATTGACAGCATTTTCCCCCTTTATATGCAAGAAAAGTTATTTACTCAAAGACTTATAATCAAAAGGCATACTTACCTTTGCTGTGTCGGAAACAGAATTCCAGTAACCGCCACTGAGGGAGAACTTTCCGCTACCTATTCGTGCCAGTATTTCCTCTGGAGTGTCATCAGGGCCATTTGCAAATGGAGTGTAGCTAATTTATAATAAGATGAAAGTGTTAATGAATCAAACTTCTGTTTTGGTTGTTGATCTTTATTTGCAGTGTCCATATATAACATAAAAATTAGATATATATAATATACAAACATAAACACTATAAACTATGATACAATATACAGTAACACTAAAAACTAGTGTATGCTTATGAAATAAAGTATAAAGTATAAAAGAGATTTGAAAAGTAATCTTAGGATATCAAGACATTAAAACAGCATATCATAGATGATAACAGTATAAATGTAGTGTTATTGCAGGAAAGTACACATTTGTTAGTTTGGAAAAACACAGACATAAATTATAACACAAGCATTAAGAAGACTCACCTGGATCATTTAAGCAAATATACTAATGAAGAAATGTTTAGAATACATGGCCTGTACTTACCCAGTAAGCATTGTATAGAGGAGGACACCAAGACTCCATATATCACAGGCAGCGTCATAGCCTTGTCGCTTTAAAACCTAGAAAAAGCAAAAATGTAGCATTATCACACCAATGCTTTTAAAATATATTGATAGGTTATGAATCAAATTATATTTACCAAATCAGTAACAGAAAACCTCAACAGACCATAACTGACAAATAAGACAATATACTCAATCTTATTCTAGAAGTCTATTATTAATTCATATATTTCATGTTGATTTTTATATTATTATTTATTGAGGGTCATTGTAGACACAAAGGTGAATATAATTTTCTTACTTAAAAGGCAGAGTGGCAAGGTTAAGGGGACAGAGACAGAGGTAGAGTTTATCTGCTGCTGCACTCCCCAAATGGCCACAATGGCTGGGGATTGACCAGACCTAAAGCTAGGTTCCAGGAACTAATTATTTGGGCCACCATCTGCTGCTTTCCCATGCACATGAGCAGGGAACTGTATTGGAAGCAGAGTGGCCAGGACTTAATATGACACTCTGATAAAGGATGTTGGCAATGCAAGCAACAGCTTAACTTGCTGTGCCACAAGGCACATGAAGCTTCCATGCGATAGGCAGGGCTGGGTCGGGCTGAAGCCAGGAGCTGGCATTCAATCTGGGTCTCCCACATGGGTACCATGTACTCAAGTCTTTGAGCCATCATCTGTAGTCTCCATGTGTGCACACAAGCAGAGGTTAGCAGAAGAGTCAGGACCTGATCCTAGATATTCCAATAGCAGGATGTAGTTGGGACAGAGCAGTATCCTAACTTCTGCACCAAAAGCCTGTGCTGAAGTTTCTTATTTTAATGAATTTATCATTTGTTTGGGTCTATAGAAAGGGTTACTAAAACCATGACTCTTTTCAAACCACATATGGGGTGGGCATATAGCCTGCAGCCTGGTGGTTAAGCTACCCACCATTCCAAGCTAAGTGTTTGGCCTATGTTTAATGTGCCAGGTGAGAAGCCTGCATGCCAGGCTGCAGCTCCTGGCTCCAACTTTCTGCTGATGCAGACTGTGCAAGCAGAGCTGGCATCTGGGCATTGAACCTATGGACAGAATCTCTGTTTATTTTTGTCAAACAAAATTTTACTTGTACAAGATTTATTTTTTAACGTTTTATTTACTTAGAAATGCAGATTTACAAAGAAGGAGAGAGATCTTCCATTCGCTGTTTCACAGCCCAAATAGCCACAACAACCAGAGTTGAGCTGATCCAAATCCAGGAGCTTCTTCTGGGTCTTTCACTTGAGTGCATGGGCCCAAGGACTTGGGCCATCCTCTGTTGCCCTCCCAGGCATAAGCAGAAAGCTGAATTGAAGTGGAGTAGCCAGAACACGAATTGGCTCCCATATGGGATGCTAGTACTTACAGGTGGACAATTAGCTTGTTGAGCCACAGCGCCAGCCCCAAACAAAGCTCTAAAAATCACACAATGGCATAGTACAAAATACTACTTTTCTAACAAAATCCCATTGAAATGCTATGAGTATAAATGTCAGGATGTCAATTTATATATGTTCACATTTATTCTAATGATTTAAAAGATAGAGATAGAGGTCTTCCATCTGCTGTTTTACATGCCCAACATCCACAACAGCTGGGGCTGGGACAGGCTGAAGTTAAGAGCCTGGCACTCCACAGGAGTGTCTGCATTTGAGCCACCACTACTGCCCTAGGGTGCACATGAACAGGAAGCTGGGTTGAAAACTGAGATTTAAACCCAAGACTCTAACAGGAGACACAGGCATCAAAAGCGCTGATTCCACCGCTGTGCCAATGCCTGCCCCATCCTTACTCTGAAAGATTATTTATTAATCTATGTACTCGGAAGGCAAAAAGGACAATAAGGGCCTCAAGGATTAGAGACGGACACAGAGAGATGAGCTGCTGCCCTCCGAGGGAGGGAATTCCCGTGTGGGAAACTGGGCTTGGGACCAGAGCCGGGAGCTGACCGCAGACTCTGAGATGCAGGTGTCCGAGGTAGCATCTTATCCGCTATGTCCAATGCCTGCCTCCAAAGCGGTTTCTTTTTGATATGGGGAAAGAGGAAGGGCTAGAGGGTAGCTACTCAGCTTACCTGGAACATTTAAGACAGGATTTAGTAGCTAAAAGAAGGAGCTGTGGGACAGTAGAAGATATCCAAAGGGCATTAAGAAGAGGACAAGGCATTACCAAGAGGGCAAGGAGTTCAGAATGGTGAGAACTTCACCTGAGAAATGCCAGGGACCAGAAGGGCTGTTTGTTACAGCATACTGTCAAGAATTTCGCTTTTCCTCCTGTATGCATTTTATCCTGATTATTTGTTCAGTACGTCTTCAAACAAACATCTACTAATTGTTTTACTTTAAACACGACAAGTTTTAAAATACACTGCAATTCTATAAGCAAATTCTCACATCATTACCTCTGGCGCAACAAAATTTGCAGTATAACAAGGAGTCATGAGAAGACCATTTTCCGCTCTCAGCTGTTTTGCAAAGCCAAAATCACAAATTCGAATAGATTCTGGATTACCAGACTCATCCACATAAAGAATGTTGCTAGGTTTCAAGTCTCTGTGAACAACCTAATTGAAATACACATGAAAGAACTGCATCAACAACACGTTTCCATTATTTAAAATTCTTTATTCACATATTGTCTAGCAAGGCACTTCACATGCTGAGCTACACATGACTTAATATATACCCGGGAAAGGGACTGACTTACAGCCTCTGCCCACCTGAGTAATTAGGTTAAGGAGAAATGCAAATGGCAATCTCTCCCTCCAGGTTACTCACTCATTTGGCAATATATACTAAGTGTCGTCATGTGCCATAGCTTCTTTTTTTTTTCAATAAGGAGCTGTACACGTGAGTGAAAAAGATCTTAAGAACCTGGCCTTGTCATAGTAGGAGCTCAAACGGTAGTAAGAGAGGCAGAGAATAGGCAGGCTGAGATATGGCGCATAACTGGGAGGTCACTTTAAATAAGGATATCAGGGTGTCTCCAGAGGAGGTAATATCAATGATCTAAGTACAGAAAGAATAAACCCTAAGAACTTGTTCCAAGTAGAGGGATCAGCATGTACAAGGCATATACATAATAAATACAAGTTATGTGTTGAAGGACTACATGGAACATGTATGGCTTTTAGAAGTAAAAAGAAAAAACAAGAACCCCAAATCCAGATTTTGAGTATTTCATGTTTTACATACGAGATGTTACATATGCAAAAAGATGCCTTTTCTTGTTTTGTGCTACATTCCCCTTGAATAACCTGCCTCGGAACTGCCGTCAGTGGCAGCGTTCCTGGGGCGCCTTCTTAGACTCAACTCTCTTCTACATTTTAAACCAATCACTGTTGCTTTAGCTGCTAACACCCAGACCATTAATTCTTTCGTCATCCAAGATAACTAAGTATTTATTGCTGAGGCCCTGGGAAAACAACATGGAAGACTGAGATAAATGCAAGGTCATAAATCCTGCAAACACTGCACTCTCCTCTTTTCAAGATACAGCACTGGGAAGATTGTGATAAGCTAGGAATCAGGAAGCTCCAGCATTAACACCTAACTGCGTAATGGACGTAACCTTCTGGTACAATGCATGAAAATATCATGTTGTACATCATAAATGCATACAATTTCTGTCATTGAAAGTTGAAAAAGTAATCTCTCATTTTTCCTCTTCAAACTCTGCTGTTTCCCTTGGCTCTCTCTCTCTCCCAGACTTCATTTCTTCGAAACGATGACGGTTTTTCTGTTTTGGGAAGTCTCTAAGCAGGAAGAGATGAGGAGGGCATCTACCAGCCGGAAGACAGATGACAACGTGGCTTCGAGGATTTCCTTTAATACAAGAATATAAACCAGGATTCCCTGGTTCCGCCTCTAACCTTCAGTGGGCCTGGTTTTCACGAATACAGAACAGCCTGTCAGAAATTGCTGTGCTCTCCAGGTCAGAGATATTGCATGCTTTTTCTTGGAAAGCATTAAGAATTATGCTTTCAGGAGTCTGAAGCTTACGAGAGAGGTTTCTGTAGAGGACAACTAGTATTATGCTAATAGTAGCTATTTTTCCATTACATGTATAAAGTAACTTCTACATTTACAATTTTAGCTCAAGAAACAGGCATGTGAACTTAGATATGTGTGTGTGCACACACATAGGCTGCCAGACTTACCCCTTGCGCATGAAGATATTCAACAGTTTTGGTTATGGTAAACAGGACAGCACTGGCTTCTCGCTCAGAGAAAAATTTCTGTCTAAGAATTTTATCCAGTAATTCACCTCCTTTCATCAGTTCTGTTACTACATACACGTATTTTCCATCATCATATACCTAGAAAATTTGACAATTCAATATAAACAGTTACATGAAGCTTTATGTACCCCCAAAGTTCAGCATACTAAGGAGAAATAAAAACATTCAAGAAAACAAATTTTTTCATGTAGATAGTAAAACATGCCATGAATTTATTATCCCTGAACACATGAACTATCCTTCGCAGCCTGTACTATGGTCCCACATATTTATTTGACTGTCACCACATATCTGTGGGGCTTGGTATTACTAGCGCATTTGTCTTGGAGGTCACTTGTTCAAGTGCCACATTCTGATGGCTTTGTTATCTGACCTTTGGTCCTGACATTCTTTTTGTAGTCTGTAGGTTTCAGAGGAGTAATTGAGCCAGTGTGAGGAAGCAGGCTAAGGCATCTCCATCTAGGGCATCAGGTTAAGTCTCAGCTGCTCCAATTCTGATCCAGCTTCTGCTAATGGGAAAGCAGCAGAGGAAGGGCAAAGCGTTTGGGTCCCTGCCGCCCATGCTGGCGACATGGCTGGAGTTCCAGTTTTCTGGCTTTAGGTTGGCCTGGTCTTGGCTGTTGTGGGAATCTGGGGAGTGAGTCAGGGGATGGAAAATCCCCTATTCCACTCTTCTCAAATAAATCCTTAGGGGAGGATTAAAAAAAAGGCATGGGAGGAATGTTACAGGCTTGAACTAAGGTAGGGTTCAGAACCAGGAAACAGGGCCCTACATGGTAGCCCAGTAGCTAAAGTCCTTACCTTGCATGTGCCAGGATCCCATATGGGTGCCGGTTGGCATCCTGGCAGCGCGGCCTCCCAACCAGCTCCCTGCCTGTGGCCTGAGAAAGCAGTCGAGGACTGCCCGAGGCTTTGGGGACCCTGCACCCACTTGGGAGACTTGGAGGAGGCTCCAGGATCCTGGTTTCTGACTGGCTCAGCTCCAGCCATTCACTTGCAGAGGGAATCATTGGATAGAAGATCTTTCTCTCTGTCTCTCTGAATCTCTGACTTCTCAATAAAAATAAATAAATACACATATTTTAAAAGAAGCAGCAAACACTGCAGATCCCCCAGGATGAGAGGCATTGTCAATTCAGCCTCTTTACTCCACGACTCAAAACTCTTAGGTGCTTTCAAGTTGTGTGTGCCCCCTTGCCTATAACCTGTACTTTTTTTTAATGACTTATTTTTCTTGGAAAGGCAGATTTACAGAGAGGAGAGATGGAAAGATCTTCCCTTCGCTTGTTCATCCCAAGTGGCCACAAAGGCCAGAGCTGAGCCGATCCGAAGCCAGGAGCCTCCTCCAGGTCACCCAAGTGGGTGCAGGGCCCCAAGGCTTCAGGCCGTCCTCAACTGCTTTCCCAGGCCACAGGCAGGGAGCTGGATGGGAAGCGGAGGGGACATGACCTGGTGCATTTGTGGGATCCCAGCACGTATGAGGCGAGGACTTTAGTCACTGGGCTACCGTGCTGCGCCCATCTGTGCTTAATGCTCAAAAAGGTACTTATTTATTACTGGAAAGGCAAATTTTGCAGCGGAAGACCTTTCATCCGCTGGCGCCCACCGCTTTCCCAAGCAGGTAGAGGATCAGTGTGTGAAAGTGACTGCCCATTCAAGAACACTTTTATTCTCTGCAACTAATAGAGGATATAACATATAATATGTGTAAACAATTTGTAATCTAAGAATATTAGAACAGGAATTGATGAGACCAAATGTTGGAAAGATAGCCAGTACTTTGCTTCTGTGAACCTTAACTCATGGCAACCCAAGGAACCCTGGGCACCATGCATCTGCCAAAGGCCCTGAACTTTGGCTCTCAGGGTCTGCTCTCTTAATCTCTTGCTATCACTGATAATAACAGGGACTAGTGTAAAGATCTACTTCGGGGTCCAGCGTGATAGCCTAGTGGCTAAATCTTCACCTTCTATTTACCAGGATCCCATATGGGTGCCTGTTCCTGTCCTGGCTGCTCCATTTCCCATCCAGCTCCCTGCTTGTGGCAGGGGGAAGCAGTCAAGGATGGACCAGAGCCTTGGGACCCTGCATCCACATGGGAGATCAGGAAGAAGCTCCTGGCTCCTGGCTTCAGACTGCCTTAGCTCTGGCAGTTGTAGCCACTTGGGGAGTGAACCAGTGGACAAAAGATTTTTCTGTCTCTCCTTCTCTTTGTACATCTGTCTTTCCAATAAAAATGGACAAATCTTAACAAAAAGGGATACACTGTTACAATGTCCTTGAATTTCTGCAATGCAGAACCTCTGCATTAACATACAAGAATTAGGTATTTTGATTGTGATTAAACTAAAAGACAAGTTGAAGACAAGAATTAAGGGGGAAGATTGAAAAGCAAATAAAAATGCTGTGCAATTGCACAAAAACATACCAGTGAACAAGCAACACAGGGACAGAAAGCTAGACAATGTTTTGGACTTGTGCGCAGGCAATCTTTAACTGAAAGAATCCCTATATTAAACTCCACTTCTGAGTCCAATGAGTCCAATGTTGTGAAGTAGCACGTAAGGCTGCTGCCTGTAGAGCAAGCACCCAACTGGGCAAGGTGCCAGTTCCCAATGGCTCCAGCTCCTGCTTAACGGCCTAGAAAAAGCAGCAGCACATGTCCCAAGTACTTGGGCACTGTGCCATCCATGTGGGAGACCTAGAAGAAACTCCTGGCTCCTAGCTTAGGCCTGGCTCAACTCTGGCTGTTGTGGCCACTGCGGAGTGACCCAGCAGAACTGTTTCAGTCTCTCTCTGTAATTCTTTCATCTAAATAAACATCACTCACCATAATATTACTGGAAAATTTTACTTAATTCCATAAAAAGGATCAAGTAGTGGAGTCCCAAATAGGAGAAAAACAAAAATCTTTCCCCCAAATTTTTTATTTGACTTTTAAAATAGATTTATTCATTTTACTTGGAAACTCAAAGTAACAGAGAGAGAAGAGACAGGTATTTCCATCCACTGCTTGACTCCTCCAAATAACCACAACACTAGACCTAAAGCCAATAACCAGCCTGAAGCCAGGAGCCAGGAACTTCTTGCAGGTCTTCCACGTGGGTGGAGAGGCCTAATGACTTTAGCCATCCTCTGTGCTTTCCCAGTCCATAAGTAGGGACCTGGATCTGAAGTAGAGGAGTAGAGACATAAACTGGCACCCACATGAGATGCCAATGCCGGTAGGTGGAAGATTAACCTGATACACCACTGCACCAGGGCTGGTCCTCAAATTTTTAATTTTAGTAGACAAAATAAAGATGTAAGCAAAAATGTTATAGACATTGTAATAAAAGTGTACAGAAATTTTAGAGACTTTGTGGAGTTTGAAGTGAAGGAAAGAACAAAGATAAACACACACACACATACACACACACACACACACACAAAACAAAGGTGAAGTGACAAGTTAGGGAGTTCTTATAGAAAGAATAATTCATTTTGAATGTTGTTGGTTGGTTTCTCTCTTTTTAAAAGATTTATATATTTATTTATTTATTGGAAAGTCAGATATACAGAGAGGAGGAGAGACAGAGAGGCAGGGAGCTGGATGGGAAACGGGGTTGCCGGGATTAGAACCAGTGCCCATATGGGATCCTGGCTCATGCAAGGTGAGGACTTTTGGACACTAGGCCACCACACTGGGCCCTGGTTGGTTTCTTGAAGAGTAAGTTATTTAACTACTTACATTAGTTGGCTTCATATTTCGATGAGACTAAGCATCATTCATCTAACAATAAGCAGTGATAAGAGCTATTGGGGAGTTCACGTCCTTTGCTCATACCGTTACAATAGAAGCCAGAGAGTCAGGAAGGAGTGTAATGTAACACAGCCCAGGGAAGGAATACCTCACTAGTCCTGTGGGTGGCAATGGGCAGTGCAAGCTTGTTTCAAGAGAAGAAATGGTGTCTGAGCAAAGTTGTAGATACGTGTCAGTTAGTCAAGCAAGGAAGGGAAACAGTGTTCCGAACCACTAAGGGAGCAATATGTTAAAAGCTGGAGCAGTGCAAGAAAACAGGCATGCTCAGAAAATTAAACACACTAGAGTCTGGCTAGAGTGTGTAGGGGAGTGTGCAGGGTGCATGACGAAACCTCAAAATCACCACAAAGGCAGGCAGCGGTGTGAGGGCTAAGGGGTCCTCTCTGCAGGCAGGAAAGTAACCCGGGTAAGCATGAGAGCTAGATCTTTCCAGCAGTATAGAGGGGGACAGTTCAGGAAATCTGGAGCAAAGTTAGACTAATGAATCCTGAATATTAATTAGTAGTAATGTTAATATTGACATTTGACGCTTTAATTAAAAGCAGATGCTAAAAACAACATCAGAGATACTTCTATAGAAGCAGAAAATCGCATACTTTCTTTAGAAATGAAGGTATACTATATACATTGCTTTGAAGCTTACTTTCTAAACTTTCTACAATAAGTTTCCAATCTACCAAAAGATATTTGAGATTTTCCAAATGTTAGACAAACAATTCAAATTATGCCCATGAAAGATTGTACTTACATCCTTCAGAGTAATAATATTTGGATGCTGTCCATAACGGAGAAGAATTTCAATTTCTTCAGTTGGATCTCTCTTGCTTTTATCAATAATCTGAAAGGCAAAATTTGTTATAAAATACCACAAACTAGATGGTTGCAATCTATGAAACTGAAGTACTACTTTATTTAAATACCAAACATGAGTCATTTATCAATCATATTTATTCAACTACCTGGCCAGAAGGTTTCATTAGAAATTTAGTCTTGAAGGCTGGTTGTGGTGTAGCACATTAAGCTACCTGACACACTAGCATCCCATATCAGTGCAAGTTCAAATCCGGGCCACTCCACTTCTGATCCAATTCCCTTATAATAATGTACCAGGAAAAGTAGTACAAAATATCCAGAAAAAATGGACCCATGTCATCCATGCGCAAAATCCATTTGGAGTTCTAAGCTCCTTGCTATGGCCTGGCCCAGTACCAGCTGTTTCACACTAACTCAAAAGCCTTTTCTTTCATTCTTGAACATCTTCAAACATTTGGCAACTCAGTCAATGTCTTTTTGCTAACAATACAGATAATTAAAAGCTGTGTGTATATATAACACCATCACTAGCATCTGTGTATTGAATTAGCTTTGCTTCCTTTAATAAAAGTGCTACCATGGAATACCCCAGTAGATGTTAGTTATGCATAAAAATTAATAGCTAACTAGAAGTTACTTTTGAAGCTAGGCAGAAAATTTAAAGATCACACCTAGAACTTTACTTGGCTAGAATTGTTTAATTATTGTAATAAACCCCTTCAAAATATTAATGTAGCTTTTTTAACCTTTAAGTCAGCTTCTTTAAAATTTTTTTCTTGATGTTTTGATCTGTTACTGACACATTTTTTTTTTACGATGAGTTTTACTTGCAATTCAAGTGGTCATTTGAAACAAATGTGGTAGCCTTTGTATATCTGATGTCCAAACAGCATAATGATTGTGTCCAATAAATTCCTAAACACTCCAGCAACCTAGGGAGAGGGCTTACAACTCTCAGCATGAATTTAATCTTCTGTCTGAAATAGATTTAGTGGGAAAACAATTCTGTATTTGGAGAACAAGAAAGGTAAACACAGGTGTCCACCGTGATCAATTGTAAATAATAGTGAGAAATTTGGTAAATGGATGGTTGTCAGACGCATATGGAATAGACATGCTAATTCAGAGAGATGGTCTGGAACTAGTCTTTTGGAAAAAAAAGAACACCCAGAAAGGTGCTGTTTTTCACAATGTTTTCTGATTTTGCTATTTTGAGCCCCAGTACACATTTATCTCCATAACATATACTTGTGGGCCCCGGATTTATGATAATTTTAATAAAATCCAGTTGTGCTTGGCTTGGTTTTATGAAACTAATCGAAGAATCTACAATATCTTAGAAGTATTCTCAAGGCTTTGGAAATACTGCTTTTTCATTGTACTTAAAGAAAAAGGATATAGTAAAACTTTCCCACCAAGTGCATTATTTTCTTCTTTCCTTTTATGTAAACATTTTGGAATTTCTATATAACCCACATAAAAGAATAAGAGCAGAGACAATTAAATGTGTTTCTGTGATTTGCCATTTATGTGGTAGAAAGCCTTATGGACCAAGATGACTTTGTATAAAGTAATTGCATCCAACTTTGGAACAGTAATCTAACCCTGAATGGCACTCCATCGCTGCCAGGTATCCTGATGGGATAGCTGATGAAATCATAACAGCCCAGAGCAAAGTAGTTTACAGTGGTGGTCTTAGTCCTTTTACTGGTTCACATAGCCTTTTGGATACGAAAAGAGGTTTGCAATCTTTTTTTTTTTTTTTGTAAGAAAATGTAAACATGCACAATTTGATGCACAATTCTGAGACAGTCTCTGACACCCTACTGGAAAAAGGAAACTTTTAAGAGTAAAAGTGGTATTATTAAAAATCATGTAAGGGGTATGTGTTTGGTCTAGCAGTTAAGATGCTCACATCCCACGAGAGTGTGTGGGTTCAAGTCCCGGCAATGCTCCCAACTCTGGCTTCCTCCTGGGAGGCTGTAGATGATGGCTACAGTGGCTGCTTCACTGCCGCCTAGGTGGGAAGATTAGATTGAGTGAGTTTCAGGCCCCAAGCTTTACTCTGCGACATTTCCAGCTGTGGTGGACATTTGGGAAGCAAGCCAGGGGTTGGAAGCACTACCAGTCTCCATTTTTTTGACTCTCAAATAAAAAAGAAATCATGTGAGATATATACTAGCATTGCCCTGGGCAAACTGGACATGTCTATCTCACCATTAGCCCAGAAGGGGATCTATGCTACCAGACCTCTAAAAATCCCTAGTCAGATATTTCACTGATTTTTTTTCTTTAACAAAAAGTATTTTCATCAAAAGTGTAATTTTTAACTGGTACTTACATGCATGAATAAGGACTGCTAGAACTGCATTTGAAATGGAAAAAAAATATTTACCTTCACTGCAAACTCCATGTTCGTGGCTTTATGTATACATCGCTTGCAAACAGAGTATGAGCCAACTCCAATATCCTCTTTCACTTCATATCCATCGGTAAACTGAATACTGTTCCTGTGTAATTGCTACAAATAAAATGATAAACTGAGTTCCATACCTTTTTTTAAGAAGAGTGCACTTCATAATAGGGGGATATGCTACTGAGTGTGCATTACTGATGTTAATGTGAGTTGAGCATTCATTCCTTACAAGTGCATATTTTAGTAAGTTCCTACCGTAAAATATTCAGCATGAAATATGCCTTCAAATCTACTTCCACTAAAAGTTTAAAAAAAGGGGGGGGGATGCCACTGAAGCACAGTGGGTAAAGCCACTCCTAGAAAAAGCACTGAAGCAGGCCCATGTGCTTGGGCCTCTGCCACACATGTGGGAGACCTGGATGAAGTTCCTGGCTTCAGGCTGGTCTAGTCCTGGCAATCGCAGTCGCCTGAGAAGTAAATCAGCAGATGGAAGATCTAACTTTGAGTTTCAAATAAAGAAAACAATAAATAAATAAATAAATAAATACATCTTTAAAGAAAGAAAAAAATTCAGTATGTACACCAGAAAAAGCCAAATTACTTAAGGGGGCCTACAGCTTTCTCTTTAATCTTGCTTAACTACACTTCCTAACTGGATCTAAGGTTTTGAAGCACCTTTGCAAATGAGAAGACCAAAATCGCTGGTGGAGAGAATGTTTAAGTAGATTCAGAATTAGAACATGCCCATTATCGTTTTAGATGTATCAGTGAGCAGTAGGCTGTGTAATCTAAGGATTAAGTAGCAATGACGTGTCATCATTCTAGACTGAAGTCATGCTCCGCTGCTTTAACTCAGATCACAGCTTCATACAACCTCGGTTAAAGAAGCTATTCATGAGTTAGGGGCAAGTAATATACACTTGATTGAGTAGCAGTTACTGGTTCCAAAAACAGGCTGAGGAAGTTGTGATGCATTTAACTTTACTGACATGAGACTTTCCACGCCCACGTTAGAACTTGAATTCTGCAGCATATGCTTGTGGTTTCTATTTTAGGTATAGAAACTATAATTTTAAAACTTGATATATATTCATGTGCTTATACAGTAAAAGGGACGGACTACTCACTTTCCAACATAAATTTTGCTTAAAAATTATCATTTAAGTTGGTTTTCTTGGGTGACAAAATGACTGTCTTGCACACACACAATCAGATGAAAAGCAACTTAATCACGAACAAATTTCAAACACTAATGATATGCTTAAAACAATTCAATACTTCAAAAGACTGATGTAGTTCCTTTTATGGATTGAAGGATGAAGTAAATTTCTTTTGCCATGGTATTAGGATGGGAAGAAGGAAATATAGTTAGACTGCACCACTGTGTTCCTCTAACGTATCAGCCCAGTGTCGTGTTCTGCACTTACCCCTTCCCCACTGCCCATACTCACGCATGTGCCTAAAAATCTGCTTGTGTGGTCTTTACTTACCTTTTTTGAACAATTCTGACAAGTAATGGGAAAAAGAGGCAGAAGGAACTCTACGTCAGTACCCATAGCCCACAGCTGGCCTGATAAAGGCAGAGGCTAAGGCTGAAGAAACCAGGCCTGGCAAACACCGAGGCACAGCAGGCAGAAGGACAAGACCACGATGCTTATTTCAACTTCCTCAGAATAACATTCTCAAATCACACAGACATTCAGGAATTTTATTCACACAATCTTTTTAATGACATAGGAAAGGAATTCCTAACGGTAATAATAATGATATAAACTGTATCTTCAGCTAGCTAGCACCTAAGAAATAACGATTCATATAATGACCTGCACATTATGGCATTTCCAATTTAAAATCATTTAGACATTCACTCACCTGAACAATTGAATGTACACCCACTGTCTGCATCGCTTGGCTTTCATCATCTGAGGTAATAGCAACAAAGCTAAACCCCCGAAAAAGCTGGTGTGCATTAGCACTAGGTGGAATGCCAGGTGAATCTGAAACGAGTAAGAAATTAACAGCAAGGTTACTTTGAAAAGCAATTATATTACCTACCAGCATATCTCAACACTGTATCTGATCTGATCTGATCACTCACTCCAACCACAGCACTAACAATTGGTTCCTTGAAAATTAGAAAATAACAAATTCATTTGAAAAGCATAATAAATCAAAGAATTACAGGGTTAGTGATATTTAAAATTAAGGTTATCCCATAAAACTTCCTGGAATGATGGAATTTTTATTTGTGCTGATACTGTAGCCACTGTACACGTGTTGTTACTAAGCATGTCAAATATGTCTGGTGATTGAAAACCTATCTATGTTTTCATTAGTCTCATGCAAGTAATTGCCACTATATTGAACAATACCACTCTAAATGACAATACAACAATACTGCACATTTTAGTTAGGGAGAAGATAGAAGGCAGACCCACAGCAGAAACAGGGAACTTCAAAAATAAAACAAAAGAATTATGCGCAAAAATACTTTGTAATCAACAAGAATAGCATGCACTCATTGTTTTATATTTGAGTTTTAATGTTTTCTTCTTACCTTTGGGAGTTTTTGCAGTAAATTCAGGATCAAAATAGAATGTATCTTCAGGCCTGCCGGTTGCAGGTTTAAAAGGTGGATGAATTTCTCTTCTATATAGTTTCTGGAGGGAAAAAGAGATACTTAGACATGAGTTAATTATAAGAAACATTTCAAGCAAATTTTCATTCCATACTTACATTCCAGTCTATGGTCGAGAAAAACGAATGTCTCTTAATTTCTTCAACTCCATCTGGTCCTGCACCTATTATAAACATTTTTGGGGAGAAATATATTTGGAAACATTGTTCAGAGTTTTAATGTTTTCTGAATATCTAACAATCAGCAGAAAAACAAATATCTATTTCCCATGCTTCAACAAAAACATCAAAAGCACAAAATAAAAATGTAATCAAAAGATTTACCTAATCTGTTGGCTGGATTTCGTTTGAAAAGCATTCGTAAAAGACTCTGTGCTTCAGGACTCAAAAACTGTGGCATTCCAAGTTTGGCTCTAAATAACAAATCCATAAACAAAATGTTATTTTTGGGAGGTCTGTGCATTTTTACTTTTAATTTTTAAGACTTTTAATTTTGAGATAACTGTACAAAGTCCCAGTTGTATCTGCATTTGTTTGTATTTAGTTCCAAGCCTTAAAAAAACCCCCAAGATTTATACATGTATTTATCTGAAAGAGTAAAGCAAGAAGGAGAGACAGGGCTCAACCCCCCATGTGTTGGTTGACTCCCCAGATGGCCACAATGAACAGAGCTGGTCCTGGATAAAGCCAGGAGCCCAGCAATGTGGGCCATCTTTCACGGCCTTAACAGGCACATCATCAAGGAGGTGGATTGCCAATGGGGTAGTTAGGACTTGGTGTTCATATGGAATATTGGTGTCACAGGTGGCAGCTCAGCACATTATATAATGCAAGCCCCCAGTTCCAAGTCATTTGTATCACACGCATATAGGTTCTTCACTGCATATGCCATATTCAAAATTGTACCTATTAAAGGGTATCTGAATTGTGTGTAGCTATGAGCTATCACAAATAAAGCTGCTATGGACATTGCACTATAGGTTTTTGTCTGAACACAGAATTTCAATCCAAAATCTTCAAATGAATGTTTTTCATCTTTCAGTTTTCTCCAAAGAGCACTACGGTTAGAGTAAGAACATTTGAGTGTTAGCTTAGTTCTATTACCTAGAACTCCATGATCTTTGGAAAACCAATCCTTCTTGGTCTGTTGCCATTTTTTTCATAATGGGATTGGATGCTAGGCTAATGACTCCTAAACTGTATCCCTGGAATCCTTCCCCCCCCCTTTTTTTAAGATTTATTTATTTATTAGAAAGTCAGATATACAGAGAGGAGGAGAGGCAAAGAGGAAGATCTTCTGTCCAATGATTCACTCCCCAAGTGATTGCAATGGCCGATGCTATGCCGATCCAAAGCCAGGATCCAGGAACTTCTTCCGGGTCTCCCACACGAGTGCAGGGTCCCCAGGCTTTGGGCTGTCCTTGACTGCTTTCCCAGGCCACAAGCAGGGAGCTGGATGGGAAGTGGAGCTGCCGGGATTAGAACCGGCACCCATATGGGATCCTGGCGCATTCAAGGCAAGAACTTAGCCACTAGGCCATGGCGCCGGGCCCTGGAATCCCTTTCCTAAGGCAATTTAAACAATGTGCTAAGAGAACATGTACTTCATCTGCTAATTCGCTTTCCTATTTCCTTTCACAGTTCCTGCAAGGAAGAACTGGTGGGAGAAGGCTTTGGAAGCATCCAAGACTCTGACACACAGTCTAAAAATCAATGGCTTGAATGAGCTTGAAGGCCATTTTTGCTGTAACATATAATTTTATTCTTTTTCCTACCCTACAAATTAAAGAAACCAATGATCCTTTCAGCATGACAGTAATAAGAGAGCTGGGGAAAATGACTTGGAGAGTTTTAGTTCAGAAATAGACCCACTTAATATTCAGTGAGTTGTTCTTGAGCACCTACACTACTTAGTGCTGAGGATGCAGACACCAACAGCCTGGTGGCTAGGAGGAAAGCAGATATAGATAACTCTACTTCAGTAAGAGACCAACGCAGAAAATAATACAGCCAAAGTGGGAAGGGAATGATAACATAGGAGATCATGATAGGACTGAAATGTAATCCACAGGTTGAACATTTATTTACTTGAGCAGTGCTTTCTAAAATTATATCAAATAACATTAATCCCTGTAGATTCTTAGTAACAAAAGAAAAAAATATTTCATGAGTCAATCACTTTGTGCACTATTTTGGTTGATTCTCTTTTTAGCTATTATAAACAGTGCTACTATGAAGAGCTTTGTGCTTTTCTTTTTTACAAAATTTGTTTATTTGAAAAGAAGAGCTAGAGATGGAAAGAGAGAGAGAGAGAGAGAAAGAGAGAGAGAGAGAGAGAGAGAGAGAGAGAGAGAGAGAGAGAAAGAGTGACAGGGCACCTACATCTGCTGGTTTCCTCCCCCAATGCTGGTAATGCATGTGGCTGAACAGGCTAAAGCCAGGAGCTTTATGCGGCTCTTCGAGAGGGGTACAGGGCTGTAAGCATTTGTGCTTATATTCCCAGGCACGTTAACGGGGAGCTGGATCAGAAGTGGAGCAGCCAGGATTCGAACTGGGGTCCATATAGGATTCCAGAGTTGCAGATGGGAGGCTTAATTTAATATGCTACAAAGTCAGATTCTGCATTTGTGGTTTTTAAAGCTTTTCTATAGCCTTTTTCCTAAAGGGAGAAGGGTGGGGTGGGAAGAGGAGAGCTCCCATCTGCCGACTCACTCTTTAAATTGCCTCAACAGCCAGAGCTGTGTCAAGCTGAAGCCAGGAGCTGGGAACTCATGCTTAGTCAACCATACGGTGGCAAGAGTTAATACTACAAGCCACTTCCTGCTGTTTCCAATGGCATGCTTTAGCAGAAAGCTGGAAATGGGAGCAGGGCTGGAGCTTGAAAGTAATCACTCTGAGATGGGATAGGGGCATCGCAAGGAACATGTAACATCTTAACCAATGCACCAGATGCTCACCCCTGTGTTGACTTTTTCTGATGTGCAAGTATCATGGCAAAGGGGGACTATCATATGAGACATATTTTATCTTGAAATGACAAAATGGCTTACAAGTATTTATATTTCTTCTACCCACGTAGCGAAGATGTTACTGTCCCATGGTCCACCAAAACCTGTACTGCCACTTTCCTAAACGTTTATTTATTTATTTATTTATTTAAGATGTTTAAAATTTTTATTGCAAAGTCGGACAGAGAGAAGGAGGGAAAAAGAAGAAGAGCTTATGTCTATTGATTCACTCCCCAAGTGATTGCAACGGCCAGTGCTACACCAATCTGAAGCCAGGATCCAGGAGCCTCCTCCTGGTCTCCCATGTAGTTGCAGGGTCCCCAGGCTTTGGGCTGCCCTCAACTGCTTTCCCAGGCCACAAGCAGGGAGCTGAATGGGAAGTAGGGCTGCTGGGATTAGAACCGGTACCCATATGGGATCCTGGCGCGTTCAAGGTGAGGACTTTAGTTGGTGGGCCACCATGCCGGGCCCTGTTTTTTTGTTTTCATATGCTAGAATGGCAGAGTGAGAGATTCACTGGTCTTACCACTTGCTGGTTCATTTCCTCCACCCAATCCCTTGTCCCAGTTGTCTTAACAGCTAGGGCTGGGCCAAGCCAAAGCCAGTACCAGAAACTCCATCTGGGTCTCCCTAGTGGGTGCCATTGGCACAAGCACTTGAGCCACCACCTGATACTTCCTAGGGTGTATTTGGAGGAAGAACTTGAACTGCGTACTTTGATATGGCATGCTGGAGTCCCAATAGGCAGCTTCAGCTTCTGTGCTACAACACTCACCCCTGTCAACTGTCCCAACTTGAGATGTCTGGTGAGTATGTAGTGGTACCTCACTGGATTTTAAAGTTGCATTTTCTGATTTCATGCTAAGGCATGGTTTTTTTTTTTTTTAATAAAAGTTTAGTATTAATTGAATATCCTTCTATGGGATCCCCAAGTCTGGCACGTTTCTATTGAACTCTCTTTTTCAAACTTGATTGAATGGAAGTATTGATATACTCTTATATAAGCCTTTTTTAGGTGTTGTTAACATTTTCTGCTCTTAGTGAAGTCTTTTGATAGTAAACACTTAATTTTAATGTGGTACTAATATATATGGCTAGCGCTTTTTATATACTAAGACAACTTTTTTACCCTACTGTAATGAAGACATTCTTCTACATTCTTCTCTAAAAATTTCTTTGCCTTTTTATATATATAGACACATTTATAATATAATTGCAAATAATTTTTGCATATGGTGTGAATGTTAGAAAGTATTTTGATTTTTATCTTTAGGACTATATTTTTCATGATTCATTTGTAAAACGTTGTTCTTTCTCTATTGCTCTGCAGCTCCCAATGGTCATAAACTAAGTGTCCATACACGTACAGGTCTGTTTCTGTATTCTTTATTGTAATACACAGGTTTATTTTCCATACTTGCTTCAGTGCGTATTATTCTAATTAACAGTTGCATGAGTTAGACTGATAACGTGGCAAAGCAGGCCTTTTTACTTGGTTTTCTTAACAGTATTTTAAGCTATTTATGATTGTTTACATTTTAATATTATTTTATTAAATTTCACACAAAAACATGCTAGGATTTTTATTTGATTTGCATTTCCCACATAGGGGCACAGAGCCCTTGAAATGTGGCCAGTCCAAATGCTAAATGCAAAATGAGAAAAGAATTTCAAATGTGCATGGAAAAAATTACAGTACAGCAATAACTTTTTAATGTTCATTAAATATCTAATTAAAATCTTGTATGTGATGAGTTAAATAGAACTATTTCTAGAATTATTTTTAATAGATCAGTTTTACTTTTTAAAATGCAGCTAAAATTAAGTATGTTGCTTATATTTGATTTCTGCTGAGTAACACTAACGTATAAACCAACACCTTTACAGCATGGCTCTTACATAATACTGAAGCCAGGCACCTCCTTGGGGGACACAGGCATCCTAATGAGTATGTCAGCTGCTAGGAGAAATGCTCACACCAATAATTTTTTTACATTTTGTAAACAGTATCTTTTTAGAAAATGCCAATCTTCACTGTGTATTAGCTTTTCATTACTATCATGAAACACACAAGGTAGGCTGCTTTATGAAGAAAAGTGGTTATACTGGCCTGTTTTCTTCATAAAGTTCTGGAGGTGTACATTCTAAACAGGACACACTTTTGGCTGCATTGTATCATAGCAAGAACACACACACATCTGGGCTTGGTGGGGTGGCCCAGCAGCTAATGTCCTCGCCTTGTATGTGCCAGGATCCCATATAGGTGCCGGTTCTCATCTTGGAAGCTCCACTTCCCATCCAGCTCCCTGCTTGTGGCCTGGGAAAGCAGCGGAGGACGGCCCAAAGCCTTGGGATCCTGTACCCACAAGGGAGACCAGGAGGAGGCTCCTGGCTCCTGGTTTCAGATTGGTGCAGCACTGGCTGTTGCAATCACTTGGGGAGTGAATCATTGGACAGAAGATCTTCCTCTTTTTCTCTCCTCCTCTCTGTGTATCTGACTTTGAGAAAAAAATAAATAAACCTTTACAAAAAAAGAAAACACACATCTGTTTCTATGTGGTCCCTTTTGTTCTCCCTATCAAGCCAATAGGATTCAGTCACGAGAACTGTACTCCAATGTACCGATTCAATCCAACCACTTCCCCAAAAACTTTCCTATAAACGATAAGAGCAAGTTTCTAATGTCTTAGTACCATTACTATGAGATTTTAGAGACTAAAATTCTGCATGGGAGGCAGGGAACAAATCTCCAGCGTGTTGTTATCATACCAACATAAAACAGAATTTCATTTACTTAGCATCAAGTAATTTATATGTTGACTGGATTTTCATGTAGTCATGGTATCTAAGTCATGATAAATTTTTATTCTCCTAAAAAATATATATTTTTGCCTGCTTTGTCATACTGGCTAACACCTCCCAGGCAATGGACAGTATAATAAGCATGCCTATCATATTCCAAGTCTCAAAGATAATGAATGCCTTCAGCAGTCACTGCTAACATGAAGATAATATAATGAGCACTTTGAATCTAAGCAGTCTCCTTGTATCTAAACTATGGAATGCTGATGAATTTCTCAAAAATTTCTTAATACTACTGCTAATAGTATTACATACAAGTTTTCAGTGTGAAGGGTTTATTATTATAAAAATTATTTTCTGGAAGGGGGAAGAGAGCACACAAGCACCTGCCTCATTTAATGGTCAACTCCCCCAATGCCTGTCAGCCTGAAGGGAGCTCAGCCCAGGCTGAGTGGGCGGGAAATCACAATCAGCGGTTAGGTGTTGAACACAGGCATGCCAGTATGTGATGTGAGTGTATCAAGTGGTACATCACTTGCTAGGGCAAGCAACTGCTCCTGAAGCATTTTCAATCATATCAAACCATCTCCATTAGGAAGTACTTACTTAAGAATCATAGTCATTGTTTCTTTTCGATCTTTTCCTTGGAAAGGTAGTGTACCAGTGAGCATTTCAAACTACACAAAGGCAAAATAGTTATTAGTCACCATGTCTGAAATTTCAAGGCTAGAAAATTAAAAACATACACATCCTCTTCGTTAACTAAATCTTCCAAAATTGTTACACAATAAAATAAGTGTTTTATATCTTCACCATACTCATTGAATTTTTTGAGAATTGCTAAAAGATAATTAAGGTATAAGCAGGCCTGCATAAATTAATCACATTTAAACGGCAACTATAAAGTGTAGATAGGTTAACAATTTGACAGACATGCCAATTTCATACAAACTTATTTAAGGGTCACTTACTATAAATTCTTGAGGTAGGTTCATCCAAAGAGTAATCAACAGAAATGCTTTGTTTTGTTACTATTAGCAGGAAATCTAAGGCAACATGTTTTTGCCTTTTCAAATTTTGAAGGTGAAAAGCAATCGACAGGTTCCAGAATCCTACACTGCATAATTTTTCTTGCTTATTTATCACACATAAGTTACAGAACATAAAATCATCACCTTGTCTCATAAAAGTAGCTGCTGGTTCTCATTTAACAACAACAACAACAAAAGTCCTAAGCCTCTAAAACTCAAAGCTTAAATCTTACCATTAACACACCAAATGACCACCAGTCAGCACTCTGAGTATGACCACGCCGGTTAACTACTTCTGGAGCCATATATTCCACAGTTCCACAAAAAGAATATGCCTTCTTTTCATGGTCAATAGACTCTTTACTTAGTCCAAAATCTGTCCAAATAAACATTTAAATCATAAATACATAGGACTTTTCAAATGAGTTATAGCAGTTACATTAATTACTAAAAATCCCCAAGTTAAAAAAAACCCAAGTTTTTAATGCATTATTTAATATTTATAACATAAAAGGAAACTATAGAGTAGGATAAAATATTTAATGAGAATTATACCTGTTAACTTGATGTGACCTTCTTCATCAAGAAGTATACTGAAAGAAAAAAAAGAAAATGTTCTAATAACTACTAAATTCAGATTTTTAGAAGCTAAAATTGAAATCCATTAAGCATTGTTTTTATTCTAAAATTAGTATGATTTGGATTGAAGGAAGATTAAGGTAAAAGAGAGGAAATTTTTGGACACATATTTATTTAAAAAAATGCCAAAAGCAATACTGTAAATCTCCAAGGGTATTTGGAAACTAAGCAACAAGCAGCATATACATGTTTTTTCAAGCTGACCCTTAATGTCTTTCTGTAGACTGGCCTAAGTTTCTTAGTGGTCACAAAATGTAGAAGAGGGTCCAAGATGTGCATAAATGGAGGGTAAAGGGAAACCAATTTGCAATTTTAGAAAATACAGAAGGGAAATAAAGGGCATCAAGTTGGCTCTCTGGTTCACGGCAAAGACAGTTAACGGGATAACCACATACAGGTACTGGCTGTAGGAGACCAATGTTACTCAGCACTAAGTTGTCAGCCAGAAAATATTTCTAAATGGGTATTTTACTGTCTTGACTTGCAAGATCAAGTAATAAATCTTTTTACATTCACACACAGATATTACATACACATACATATGTTTTCAATATTTATTTGAAAAGCAGCATGACACCGGGAGGCCAAGAGGGAGAGACAGAGTGTGAGATCTTGCACTTGCTGGTTCACTGTTGAGCTGGGGCTGAAGTCATTTCCTTTTAACTCTAGCTAAAACTGTGTGAGTCGAATGACTCACATCTTTAAAAGCAAGGTACTTATTTTGAAAACTGAATTCTGATGATGTTGGACTATGATACAGGAAACATAAAGGAATTAGTGGGGACAAAAATTTAAATTGTTGCCAAGTTCTACGTGATGGTATTTACTTGTATCACTTAGCACTTAAATACTATTTGATTTAATATCATCTAGACATCCATGTGAAAGATTTTACCATAATCAATGTTACCTATATTTATCTTATTCAAGTCTTGTAACAGAATCTGTGCTTTATATGCAATTTAACAATTTAATAATGTTAAAACAATGATCTATAATAAATATATTCAGTCAAATGGTATAAAGTGCTAACACACTTTTCTGCTAAGGTCTATCTGCCTCAATATTTATTCTTACCAGGAACCTTATTTTGTGTCATGACAGTGAGAAGTTGAGAAATGATGAAGATAACTCAGTAATTATTTCAGGAATAAGAATGAGACAACATGAAAGCCAAAACATTAAAAAAATGTAAAAACATAATTTCTTTTTAAAAATTATGTATTTTTGTTGGAAAGGCAGATCCACGGATAGGAGAGACAGAAAAATCTTCCATCCACTGGTTCACTCCCCAAGTGGATGCAACAGTCAGAGCTGAGTCGATCCTAAGCCAGGAGCTTCCTCCATGTCTCCCATGCAGGTGCAGGTCCCAGTGCCCATATGGGATCCTGGCATGTGTAAGGTAAGGACTTAGCCAGTAGGCTATTGCGGTGGGCCCAAAACATACCAATTTCTAAAAGATCACTTAAAAGAGTTCCCAAAGGAGCATTCCCTCTATTTCCCAAAGTAATAGATAATAAGCATTTTGCAGGTAACCTTTGAAAATGATATTCAAAGTTGTTGATAAAGGCGGTATCTGTACAACTCTGAGTATATACTAAAAACCAATGAACTGTACATTTTAAATGAATTGTATGGTGTGTGAATAGTAACTCAAGAAAGTTGTTTATAAATACTTTACAAATTATTTACTGATTTGAAAGGCTGAATTACAGGGCAAGGGGAGGGAGATAAACAGATCTTTCTCATCTGCTACATCACTCCCCAAATACCTGCAGTGGTTGAGGCTGGACCAGGACAAAGCCAGGAGCCAGGAGCCAGGAGCTTCACTCGGATCTCCCATGTAAGTCCACCCTCTGCTGCCTTCCCAAGCACATTAGCAAGGACTTGGATTGCCAAGTGTAGCAGCCAAGACTCAAACAGGTGACCCTAGGGGATACAGGCTTTATAGGAGGTGGCATAACCTGTCGAGTCAGATTGACAGCCCCTGTTTATAAACATTCTTAACAGAACCAGGCTCTGGCTTATATTCTTAAGAAAGAAAAAAACCCTTTGTAAATAATGTGAGCCTCTTCGTAGCTACTACTATAAAAAAATGGGAAAGTTGCTTAAATTTAAAATTACATGGAGAGGTCAACATCATGGCATCCCATGAGGGTACCAGGTTGTGTCCCAGCCGCACCACTTCTGCTCCAGCTCCCTGGTGATGACCTGGCAGCACAGTGGAAGATGGTCCAAGTATTGGGGGAGACCCAAAGACTCGCCTGGCTCCGGTTTCAGCCTGGCCCATCCCTAGCCTTGTAAATATCTGGACAGTGAAACAGCAGAGGGAAGATTTCTCTTTCTTTATTGTTCTAGGTTTCTTCTCTGTGACTCTGACTTTCAGAAAATAAACACATGTTTAAAAAAGAAAGTCATGATAGATATCACAAAGGGAAGCCTGATACACGTGAGAGAAGAGGAAAAACTATGTAGAATAAAACAACATGAAGTTAAAAATAAAGAGTGGGAGAATGGATTTGTAACAAGTCAAATGGTTAAAATTCTTAATTTTTAAAGTTCTCTTATGAATCAATGAGGAAAAATGACACTCTAAAAGAAAACTGAGCATAGGAACTCACACAAAAATACAAATTGTCAGCTAGGATTACCACTCATGTGGCAGGCCTGAATTGAATTCCCAGTTCCCAGTTCCAGCTAGGGCCAATGCAGGCACTTAGGCAGTAAGTGAGTCAATGGATGGGACACTTTTTTTTCTTTTTTTACTGCTTTTTCCCACTCAAGTAAATGAAAAGCAACAATGAACTGCCACTAAACATGGATTTCAACCTCACGAAATATCAGAGACCAGAAATGACAAGATAATATTTTTAGATTGAGTGAAATTTTTAAATTATCAGGATACACAGTGTTAGCAGGAATGTGAAGTATACGCCCATAGTATTTCAGGGAAGTTCTATAAAGTCGCTTTATTTTGTAAGATCTTCAGAATAATTATATTATTATGCTACAGTCAGCTTATTAGCCTGATTTCTTACTTTTCTGGCTTTAAGTCTCTATAGATTATTCCCAGGCTATGTAGATGGTCTAAAGCAAGTGCAAGTTCAGCCAAGTAGAATTTGACATCTTCTTCTGTGAACATCACCTGGAATGAAACAGCATTTTTTTCTGAGTTTATTTTTTGTGCCTGTTATTTCTATTTAAAGTTCTTCTCTAGAATTTATGCATTCAACAAATCTATAAATATGCTAATTAATAGTTTTAGCCACAACTCACCAAAGAAATTGGTAAAACTGATTTATTCAAATACAGCCAATTACTAAATGCTAACTAAGCACAATAGGGGCAAATATTTTAAGAAAGAACTGCATTCAGGTTGTGACACTGCTGAATTTCTGTGACTAGTTGTTTAAATATACCTTACCAATATATTAAAGCTTCCCAGAAGACTATTTAAAAAGCTGCGCTAGTGCAAGGATTGCCAATTTAAAGGCCTGTCTTCAGAAAAAAAAAAATTTAAAAGTCGGAAATTAACTTTTTTGGATCAGATTCTCCAACATTAAGAATCTTACACTGATAGAGAATACAATAAACTTAACATTGAAATATAATAAAACATTAGCTAAAAACAGGATGAGTATAAACAGATTACAAAACAGAAATTACATACCTCTTTGGATAAGCGTGTAAACAAATCTCCTCCCCTGAGAAAGTCCAAAATAAGATACAACTTCCCTTCAGTTTGAAAAGCTGAATGAAGAAATGAAATGTTCCATTTAATCCACCATAATTTATTTTTAAGAGCTTATATAAGGTCAATTAATTCACACATGGTCATTATTTCTGAGAAATTAATTATCATATTATAGATTTAAACTTATTTTTGCTTTAAACCATTGATTTATCTTAGCTTTTCATGTAGAAATTCAGTGTTGTTTCTTTTTTAAAAATTATAGACCCATTAGCTTTTCTATAGGTTAAGAGTCTCTCAAGAAAATAATAGTTTTAAGTATGGCCTGTCAGAAACACCTGCAACAGAGCAATATTTATTTAACCATGAAACAAAATACAACAATGATACCTGCAAGCATATGGAAATTTTTGAGCTAGCTAAATTTAATTAAGCACAATAAAGGTCACAAGGGCTTTAGTCACTTTAATCACAAGGTCTTTACTGGCTTTTAGAAAAAAGATAGTTTTTAGGACTTTCAAAATAAAGATCTTTCTTGATTTTAGGTTGGGTTAACATACACAAACTAAAATGCTGGCACACTATCATTATTATTAAAAAGCAATGACTATTCCTATGGCAGCTACTTACAAACTGTATATTGTTTAAAACAAACATGGCATAAATACAATGCAAACTTCTAAAGTTTACCTAGGATGTAACAGTTTAATTCCCATAACTTTATGCATCTGATAAATATATAAAAATGTGTACTTATATACATTAGTATGTCCAAATGTGCTTGGGAGTAGGAGATAAGGTGATAAGATTTAGTGGCAGGTGGTTCATAACTTACCATAATGCAACTTGACAATAAAAGGATGATTCACTTCTACTAAGATATCACGTTCCATTTTTGTCCGAACACGGTCACGAACTAGAAAAGATTATAGCACATGGTACACTGTAATGTCTGTCAAAGACAATCTTTAAAACAAATTCTTTTTAGTGTTTATTTGAAATAAAACTTTTCTCATGTGTATAGAAACGTGAACATTTTGTTTACTGTTCTTGAATTTACAAAATAAATATACTTTACTACATTCTACAATCAAATGAAAATGTATACTTAAAAAAATCAATGCTTTCAGTTAAAGATAAATATGGAGAATCTATTGAATACTGACTTTAACATCACATTTACAGGAGTTTTAACCAAACTTGTGGAGAGTAAAGGAAAAAAAATCATACAACTAGAAAAAAAAACCTTAATGAAACATGAAAATGCAGAAAGCTAGAATAAGTTTCAATATCCTATCAACCCAATTCAATTAAGCAACCATAAAATGTGGTAGACATAGTAAAGAATGGATATGCTCCAAAATTTCTATTTTAGAGGGAGAGAAGGAAGAGGAGGAGGAGAGATGAGAGTAGCTTCCTGCCGAGGGCACTCAGGTGGGCACTTGCTCTACCTGTCCCTCAACCCTGCCTCTCTGCCTCTCCAATAAATACAAATTAAATCTAGTGGGAATAACAGATGAATAAATCAAAATACATTTTGATAAAAGTATTTCAAATAACTGTGTCAACAATTAAAACAGAAAGAAATAGGAGTTTTTTCGTGGAGTAGAATGGGGATAGCTAAACAGTTGTATTGGTTTTAAAAGTATTAGGACAAAGCCAGGAGCTTCATCCGGGTCTCCAATCTGAGTGGCAGGGGCACAAAAAGTTGGGTCAGCTGCTGCTTTTCCCCTAAGCCATTAGCATGGAACTGATTGATGCTGAACAGCCAGAATTTGAACCAGCATTCACATGGGATGCCAATGTTGGAGGTGGTGGCTTTGCCTACTATGTCACAATGCCAGCTCCCTCACAAAGCCTATAGTTTGGCGAGGTATAACACTCCAGGTCAGAAAAAATTTGCTTTTGTCTTCTGGTTTCTAATCTACTTCCACTGTCTTCTAGTTTCCTGGGTTGTAATGATGAAGTATACAGCCATTCTGACTCCTGATCCTTCAAATTAAGCTGCCTTTCCTCTTGGAAAGTTTTCAGATAGTCTTGTTGTTCTGAAATGTATTTTGTGTACTCGTGTGTGTGTGTGTGTGCGCACGCGCGCATGTGTATTAACATTTTTCTTCAACCAGAAACAGATTAATCCATTTCAATGTAGAAACTCATTTCTTTCATTTTGGAATTTTCTTTCTTTCTTTTTTCTGGTCATTTATTCTCCATTTTTGTGATTTTTGGATACACTGGACCCTCTAAATTATCATTTAATTTTTATTTTTCTGTCTCCTGTATTCTCTATTTTCTACTTTCTGGAAAAAAACATACATCTTCTGTCTTCTTTTAATCTTTATATTTCTGTCTTTTTTTTAAACTTGCATATAATTTTATTTTAGATGATGTTTACATAGTGATCAGGGTGGGAAGGTCTAGGGCTAGGGAAAAGTGGGTGTGATCATTGTTTCTAAATTTGCTATTGCTTCTTCCTGTTTCTGGTGGGGGGGGGAGAGAGATAAGGGGAGAAGCCACACTCAGCTTCCCAAATGCCCTGGTACCCAGGGATGCGGAATGGCACCCGAAATCAACCTATTTACCATCATGTTTTATTTTTTTCTTTGATTATTCGCTTTTTCTTCATTATGAGAAAGTGCCAAACATTTAAGGAAGAACGAAAAAAAATATAGTTAGCTCCATATACCTTTCCTCTGCCTCGATATTTATCAACTCATAACCTTTTCCCAACTATATTCTCCTTTACCTCTTGGTATTCTGGGGCAAATCCTAGACTTTGCATAACTTCTGACATGAATATTTTAGTATACATCTCTCAAGACAGGGTCCTAAAATAATGCAAGCTCTACTATTATATCAATAAAATTAACAGGCATTTATCTTGTCAATTCAAATTTCTAGTTGCTTAATGTTTATGCAAGCTTTTTGGATCAGTATCCATACGTGCAAGATCTATATTTTATAACTGATGTTTTTTTATCTATGAGCTCTGTCTCCATTTCTTTTTTTCCCCTTGTTTACTTGTCAAGAATTCTTCTTCTTTCCCCCATTTCATTCCATTTAAAGCTTCTTATCTGTGCTGTGTCATTAGATGGAAATTACAAGGATACAGACCTGCATTGTGGCACGGCATATTAGGCTGTTTTTTGGGATGCCAGCATCCAGTATTGGAGTAGCCAACTTGTGACCTAGTTGTGCCTCTCTGCTCTTAGCTCTCTGCTGAGAAAGCATGAAAGAATGGCCCAAATACTTGGCACCCTGCTATGTACACGGGACACACGAATGCAGTTCCAGGCTTGTGGAATCTGCCTGATCCAGCCCTGGCCTTGTTAAAGTTATCTGTGGAATGAACCAATGGATGGAAACTCTCTCTGTATGTCAATCTCTCTGTCATTCCACCTGTCAAACAAATAAATAAGTCTTTTTAAAATTATAAGGTTGATCTGTGTTCTACTGTGCCTAAGTGTTCTTTTGCTCCTCTGTCCTTTTACTTTTTCCTGCTTATTTTGATGTTTTCTATATTTAGGGAATTTATTCAAATGCCTGGGAATTCTTTGCTGCTTTTTTCATTTAAGAATAAGATATTAAAAACTGACTGGGAAAGGTTCTATGGCAAGAATTTACTTGCTTCTCATTGGCTTTCTTCCTTAGGCTCCGATTTGAGCTTTCTTGGAAAAGCCATGCTAGTTATACATAACTTGCTCACCTTCCGTTATTATTCCCTTTCCTGTTCTTTGACTTCATGAGTAGTCCCCATATCCACCCATAGTTTCTATTACCCACAGTCAATCTTAGCCTGATCATATTAGATGGGAAATTTCAGAAATATATGTTTTAAAGTTTATGACATTTTGTATAGTGATGAAATATTGTGTTGTCCTTCCCAGAACATGAATCAACCCTTTGCCAGTTTAACTGGGCTCTATATGCTACCAGCCTGGCAGCTACTTAATAGTTATTCGGGTATCAAATTCATGGTATTGCATGCTAACAAAGCACAGGAGAAGTAATGCCAAAGAGTACTAAAGTGCCTCTTTTAACATAATGAGACCCTATTCACACAGCTTTCATTGCAATACATTGTTATAACCATTCCATTCTAGTTCTATTGTAGCTAATCTTATTGGTCTTAATGTATACATTAAATGATATCACAGATATGTATATATCTAAGAAAAAACAAAGTGCATATAGAGTTTGGTACTATCTGCAGTTTCAGGTGTCCAATGGATTTCTTGTAGATAAAGGCTGGCTATTGCTTTACTGTTATTTCACTGGAGTTTTGGAAGAAAGTAGAGAATTAAACATCCATGTTTAAGCAGAAGACTGTATTTCAGGGTTTCTCTTAATACAGTAAGTAGAGTCAAATGGAAATCAGGAGTAGTGAGATACTGTCTTATTTAGGTAGTCTCATAGCCTAAAAGGGTGTTGTAAACCACCATCTAAAACAGCTTAAGCAGCATTTCTTCTTGTTTGTTTTCATGCTAATGCCTGGGGTTTAAATCCAGTAACAATTACATAAGACAAATTATTTTGGAGGGATCTACTAGCCTAGTCATCATGAGTCAACATTAAACTACTTTAGAGTTTAGGAGTTGACATGCCTTCCTTTTGATTTTTTTTTGGGGGGGGAGGGAAAGGGAGATGTTAATGGTTACTTATTTGAAAACGAAAGTTAGAGAAGAGGAGAGATAAAAAGAGAATCTTTATCCAATGGTTTATTTCTCAAATGACTGCAATTGCTGGGGCTGGACCAGGCTGAAGCCAGGACCCCAGAGCTTCTTCCAGGTCTGCCACGTGGATGCAGAAATCCAAGAATTTGGATTATTTTATGCTACTTTCCCAGGTACATTAGCAGGGAGCTGGATAGGACGTGAAGCAGCCAGGGCTGACAGGAAACAAACCTATGCCTACATGGGATCCCAGAGCTTGTGACGGGAGGATTAGCCAATGGAGCCACCATGCAGGGCTCCATCCAATTCCCAAAGGTTGTGCGAGTTCTAACCAAGTGGGAAAAACTGAAAGTCAATCGCAGTTTGCAGCTGGTAACAGAAATGATTTAGAATGTAACCAACTCCGCAGTCTTGTGAGCCCTCCGAGGCCCTCTAGTTGGTTTATAAAGTCCCAGTGCTATGAACGGCAGCAGAGCTTACCTTTCAGCGTGGCCTTCTTCAATACCTTCATGGCATAAAGCTGTCTAGCATCAGAGCCTGAGATTTTTTTAACCAAGAAAACCTGTATTTAAATAAAAGAAATCAAATAACCAGGTATTAGAAACTATATCATTGTTAAAATAACACCCCTGTCATACTCTGCCATAATAGAATTCATTAACTCGATTCTGTTAAGAGATGATGTCCTTTTAAAATGTACCAACGACGATGATCAAGTAGCTACAGTTGTAAGAGATATTAACATGAGTGAATACTTTCCTTAGCTTTGTTGTTTGCCATTTCCCAAAGATCATATAACACATTAAGATCGAAACATTTAAACAACACATAGAGCAATTAGAGGGAAAAGAGCCCAGGGTGTTTACAGCATAGCATAGGTAGTGATGATGCTACTTTTAACAAAACAAAGTCTTCTGAGTTCATCCAAACTGTTGAAAAGGATCTCTCTTGACTAGTTTTCTGCTGATATAATTATCTGCTGATGAATGGGCTTGTCTACATACATACATTGATGATAACTACAAGTACATATCACCACTGGGCACAAAAACAACATTTGGATCCTAGTTAAAAAGACTTGATGTCAGAAGTCACTCTTCACTTTTTACAAATAGTTATACAACCAGTGTGTTCTTTAACATTTACAGTAGGGGTCAGTGCTGTGGCATAGTAGGCTAAGCCTCCATTAGTGGTGCTGGCATCCCATATGAGCACTGGTTCAGGTCCCAGTGGCTACATTTCCAATCCAGCTCCCTTTTGTGACTTGGGAAAACAGCCGAGGATGGACTAAGTTCTTGGACTCCTGCACTCACAAGGGACATCTGGAGGATGCTCCTGATTTCTGGTTTTGGACCAGCCCAGTTGTGGCCATTTGGGGAGCGAGCCAGTAGATGGAAAATCTCTCTATCTCTCTTTCTCTCTGTCACTGTATGTTATTGAGATACTAAGTTTTCTAAATATTTTTGATTGCTCTCAAATCACAATGTGTGGGAATTTACGCAAAATGAATAGCTTTTCTTCTAAGTAAGTCATGGTCATGCTACAATGTGACTCCAAGAGTACCAATTAATATTGCCCATGCATTCTGACCATTAAGTTCATGATCTTTTCTACCAAACTTTTAAACAAATCTACTCAATGGGTCTGAGTTTCAATTGTCCCCGGAACCAGTGTTTTGTAGCAGTGTTCTTGAGCTGCTAGAGATGGCAAGGAGTAACTATAAGCGAGAATTCACTTTAGAGCCCATTCTTAATCGACTTAGCGGGCTAGGGTGTTAGTACTAACAATCATCTGTTAAACTGATTTTAGGGTGAGGTAGTTTCTCACTTTGAAAAACTGTGCCAAAAACAGTGAGCAAGGGCTCCAAATCCAGTGAGCAGGTGTATGCCTGAAAACCTGGATGTAGGGGTGTTGCTCTCCTCAGACCACTCCCTTCCCCTTGCCCCAAGCCCCACCTTTAGATTCTTCCAGCCTTAGATTGGCCAATCTAGGGAAAGAAAAACACCCTTGGGGCAGGCACAAGGTGGAACAACATTCAAATGTTACAAATATTCAGAGCTTCATCATGCTTTTCAGCAGAAATAGATTCTAAATATGTGGGAATAATTAGGGTTTATCTGATATTTATTCAGCCTGAAGATTCCCTAATCGAGCTTCTTCCATTCTGTAAGAAACATTTTCTAAACTTCAAACAGTTGTTTAAAAATACTCTCCTAATATTTTTGGCACTTCTTGGTTTGCAAAGTGGTTTCATACACATTTGTAATAGAGTATGGCAATTTTGGGAGACACACCTACTACGCAATGTCTATTTTATGGTTGCCTAACCTAGGGCTTAATGAGGTTAAGTGACTTGCCCTGTGTCACAGAGGGAGTACCCAGCCTCGTGCTTCTGCTCAGGGTGTTCTCTATGTGTCCCCTCTGGCTGGAGAGCTGCCGAAGCCAGCAGCAGGAGCAGCAGCAGTCCCAGCAGCCACAGGGCCTTCCTCCCGGGGAGCATTGCCGACCTTTCTCCAGCACAAAGCTATTCTCGGCAGGGCAAGGCCGGCCAAACTTTCCGGGCTTGTACCATTCTTCCCCCTCCCCCTTTTCATGATGAGTAAGAAAGGAGTCACTATTTTTAATGTTTGCTATTTGTAATAAAGTATTAAAATTATTTTTAAAAGAAATAAAGGGAACAGCACATTAATTCTTAGGAACTTAAATATTATGTTTCCTGAATATATATTGCATAAAAATAGACTAAAATATTTGGCCTTATCCAGTGGCATGCTAATACAATTTAATACCAGATATTATGCACTTGGCCTTAATCATTTAATTCTTACGACTACTCTATAGCTAATTCTCTCCAGAATTACATGTTAGGAACTGTACTACTGACAGGATGTTGAGACACAGTAAAAGGCATGGCCCTTCTATTCAAGGGTCATACCAGCAATAGGGGAGACAGCCAACAACCAAATAATTACACAGATGAAAAATTAAAATTATGGTTACATGCCATGAAGATGGTGTGCATAGTGTTTTAATATCCTAACATGGGACCATGACCTGGATTGGGTGGTAGAAAGGCTTCTGATACCAGAGCTACAAGAGGAGCTAATCACCCAAGGAAGGTGTGCAGGTGGGCCAGTGTTTCGATGAAAAGGTGTGTAAAGGCTTTCTAGCGGGATCAAGCCCCACATGCTTAAAGATTGAAAACAATGAATGTGGCCTGAAGACAGAGGGTGAAAAGTGCATGAACTGGTGTTGAAATGATAGTTAGGAGTCTCAGTGAGGAACTTCCAGAAATCTGAAGAATCTGTCCTTATCAGAAAGTGCAGGAAGGCTACAACAGATGGGTTAAAGGTGGTAGAGTACATAAGATCAGATCATGCTGGCCGTCATGTGAGCGTTGGACTGTAGCAAGAATAAATTTGGAATACAGAATTATGAGATTCCTTTAGCACGCCAAAGAGAAATAGTGACAGCACACTCTGGAGAGAAAGCAGTGGGGGAGAGGACAGAAATCTTTACTTAAGCAACACATCTCGGTGACAGATCAGAACAGTCAGGGCAGGGAAGTGGGACACTATAAAGATATGTCAAAAATGTCTTCCAAAGTTCTGGCTTGCTTAACTGGATGCCAGTCATAGTGACAGAGAAAAATGAAACGGGACAGCTTTTAGGGGCATGGGAAGGTCATGAGTTTGGTCATAGACATGCTGAATTTACAGCACCTTTGAGACAAGCAAATGGAAAGAAAATCAAGCAGCTCTACATGGAGTCCAAAGTCTGGAGGAGCAAACTAAATTGTAGATATAAATGTTACAGTGCACGTACATGAGTTATAATGAAGACAGTGGGTCCAGAGTAAACCAAGCACTAGACAACATAGAGGAGATGGCAGTAAGTCTAGAATCAAAGCTTGCCAATGTCAGGGGCCAATGCTATTGTAGAGCATGCTAATTCTCATCCCTGTGGCACCAGCATCCCATATGGGCACCAGTTCAAGTCCCAGCTGTTCCACTTTCCATCCAGCTTATGGCTTGGAAAAGCAGCGGAAGACAGCCCAAGGCCTCAGTATGCTTCTGCACCCAGGAGACCCAGAAGCAGCTCAGGACTCTCAATTCAGATCATCTCAACTCTGGCCACTGTGACCATTTAGGGAATGAACCAGCAGATGAAAGATCTCTCTATTTCTCCTTCTGTTTCTATAAAATTTGCCTTTCAAGAAAAATTAATCTTTAAAAAAAAACTTGCCAACTTCCATATCTAATGACTGGCTAGAAAACAAAAATGGGACATCAAGAGGTAAAGTAAGTTGCTCAAGCACACACAGTGAATAAGCAGGATGAAAACAAACAAAATAAGATGGATCCAAGTCTGACGGACTCAGGGCTTGCAACTATTATGCTCTGTTGGGCACTTAGTGTATAGCCGGATTAAAAGCAGTGCTTTAGGTTTGAAAGAAGTTGGTACTGTAACAAATTGTCTCTGTAAACCAAGCATGCTAGAAAGGCCTCCAGACTTCTCTGAAGCCTGCAGCTTCCCAACTAGGTGGGGACATGGGCTCAGTTGGCGGCAATGGGTTCTGTGTCCAAGCAGCAGTTTGCAAGTGGCTATACCAAGGTGGTACAGAAGTTACCAAAGGACATGGACTGGCTGGCTGATGAGGCACAGCAGCTGCACCAAGTAGGCATCTGTCAGTGGTGCATGAGGTTTGGCTTCCTGCCCTGCCACTACACATTCTAGGGTTGTGCTCAGCTCCACGGAGGACATCTCTGTGCAGCAGACTAAGCCAAACATAGTCAGTTTCTTGAGCTTGAACAAGGTGAAGCATTTGGGTGCCAGTCCTAGTCCCAGTGGGTCCACTTCCAATCCAGTTCTTTGCTAATGGGCAGGGAAAGCATTGGAAGGCCCTAGCCCTTGGGCACCTGCACCCATGTGTGAGACCTGGAAGAAAGTTATGGCTCTGTACTTTTCCAGCTCTAAGTGTCATGGCCACTTGGGGAATGAACCAGAGACTAGAAGGTCTCCTTCTATCTCTTTTCTACTCTGTAACTCTACCTTTCAAATAAAAATAAACAAATTTTAAAAACTCTGCCAAGGACCCATAACCATCTGTGGCACCTGGCCTCCTGGGGTGTTCCATATCAGGAGTGAAAGGCCACCAGAGTGGAAGAACATGCAGAAGTGCAGAGCTAAAGGACACAGGAGCTACCACTGGGGAGCTCTGGATCACCATGTCCAGCAGTGCAAGCTGCCACAACAGCATAAGAAGTATCATTTCCATCAGAGCATCAGCATTTGGCGGTCTCATGGCCCTGAAGGCTCAGCAGACCCACAGATGCCAGGGCCTTCCTAGAGGATGAAGAGACCCACAGCCTTGCACTGCTCCCTGAGGCCCAGAATTGAGCCCCAGTTGGGGGTGGGAGGTGGGGGAGGGCTATTCTTTTGCTATCAGAAAGTTTCAAGGAGGAGGCATCAAGCAAAGAATGGAGAAAATGGGGAAGGGTGAGGAGGGGGCAGCAGGCCCTGTCATTATCTCTGCAGCATAGCCTTTTCACTCGTGCTAGGAAGAAGGAGTGAGGCAAAGGAATTACAACTCCTCTCCATCCAAATTCAAGGGCGGGCTTTGAAGGAGACATCTCTAAAACCTGCATGCTGTATCGGGAGTCCCACATTCAGAATCTCCAGCATTAGAAAGGAGCCTGGATGAGGAAGTTGTTTTTCTTTCAAGGAAGAATATGGAATTATGCTTCAGTTGCCAGAGTGCAGAGATTGGTTGCGGTTCTCCCAAATCCCTGCATCCTATGGAAAGGGATTTCTCAGGAGTAAGGCAGGGTTTTCTGCATCCTGTTTGCTCATAACCCAATCCTGGGATAGGGTGCTGGGAACTGTTCCTAGTAATGTGTTGTGATGTCGGTCAAAAAGGGTGGTTAGTGGAACAGCCACAGATGTGCTACTATTCAGCTCATCACCTCTCCCTGATACACAGTGCCACCATCATTCTAGCAAAATGTGATCTTATTTGCTCCCTGGATAACTGTACCTTGGGTCTTTCCCCAGGAAGACAATTGCACGGGATGTGATCAATGCGCCTTGTGCAGTTTAATTTTTCTTTAATATAACATTTTGGCTTTGTATCTTTTAGCTTAAGGCCCTTGTCCCTGCACCGTGTTCTTGGGCACACAAACAAGCTTGGGGATAAGTGGACAGCAACTCCAGGTCTGCACAGGAATACTGCTCCAGGAATATCTCTTGCTTGTGCTACCATGGACAGCAGCAATTTGGAGTACATAGCTACTGGACTGCCTCATTTTGTCAACTACAGCAGGCTTTTTGTTTGTTTGTTAAATCCTCCTGTATCTTGAAAATGTTTCATGGGGGATGACATGCCCCATGACTTGATCTCATTCTCCTAGAAGACTGAAAATTATTCTAATCAGGAAAAAAAATGATGTAGAGAAGTTAAAAGAGAGGCCAAGGCAGGAGAAAGACCCAGAAAGTAAGCCATGGTTAGGACTGCCTGTTCCTAGGTCATAAGTCTTTTCCTTCACATAACAGAACTACCTTTTACTAGATTAGGCCAGGCATATATGTGACAGTGTGTTTGTATGTAAAAACTGAGCTGACAACGATGAATTTGAAAACTATTACCCCTGAACCCATCCTGTGTGGCCCAAGGATAGAAATATGAAATAAGGACTAACACCTTTAACCTTCCCAAGATCTTGGCTTCCAGGGAGATCCCTATGTGATGGCCTGTTGCATGGTGTCCTGCTCTGCTATATTGGTGATTATTAGTATGTGGTAACTAAAGGAGAAAAAAAATGAGGTTTTCCTTTAGCAACTAAGAGGTCACTTTGCAAACCTACCTCACTCTTTTGAAACAAGACATATGCAATACAGTGGACTGCGGTGGTGTGTTTAATGCTGGGTTCTTGTCTGCGACAAATGCTGCTTCCTTTTAGTGACTGTATTATCTGGGAGTTCACTAAGTGGCCACATTTATGTAAATATGTTTTGGTTTTTCTTTCTTTTTTTTTTTAAGATTTATTTTTCTTGAAAAGTCAGATTTACAGAGAGGAGAGAGAGAAAGATCTGTCCACTGGATCACTTCTCAAGTGGCCACAACAGTCGGAGCTGAGCTGATCCGAAGCCAGCAGCTTCTTCCAGGCCTCCCATGCAGGTGCAGGGTCCCAAGGCTTTGGGCCATCCTCGACTGCTTTCCCAGGCCACAGGCGGGGAGCTGGATGGGAAGCAGGGCCGCCAGGACACAAACCAGCACCCATCTGGGATCCTGGTGCATTGCAAGGCCATTAGCCACTAGGATATATGTGCTGAGTCCTCTGTGTTAGTTTGGAGTTTTATTGCTTACAGAATTATTTTAGTATTGAGAGAAAAATAGCCAAATTATCTTTGACGGAAGGTTCTGCACCGGACAAAGGATCTGAAACATACATTTGGAGGGTTGGGTGGGAAACCACCTTCATGATATACAGATCATTTTTTATTCTGAAATGTATGGCACAATTCCATGGGGTCTGGGATCCCTCCCCCATATGAGGAACTTAAATCATCCTGATTTTCATGTTCCCCTTCCCCTATCCTATTTTTTATCTTCCACCTTTAAGACTCGTATCCTACTCTCTTCTCTAAACCTTACCCACAAATGGAAATCTATACACCCATATATAAATGTTCAGTTCTTGGGGTGTCTCTATAACTCTAAAGAATTCATGCAAAAATCATGAAGCAAATGGGAAGCCTCCACCTCTTGTTTCCAACCTTCTGAGTCAAGACTATGTCTTAAAAAGATTCATGCAGAAACTTAAGACACTGGCATAATTAGATAGATCAAATCTACCTTATATCTGAAGAAGAAAACAAGAGGGAACATCTCCATAAGAAGCAGGGTTTGAAGATCAAGAAGGGCACTTTGAATACAAGCACTTTGCTTGATAGGAAGCAGACAAATGTAATTCCATGTTTACTGCTAGAAACCAAAGGTGCGTGTGGAACCCTAAATTTATGGGGAAGGAGGATAGGAAAGTTTGTATCTGTTTTTTCACTGGTCCCTTCCCTTTAGTCCTGAACTGCAGGAGACTAAGCCTCTTTGGGCTTTGGTGGGCCCATCACTTGAGTATGTTTATTTGGGGGTTGACAGTGTTGTACTGAGTACTAACTCTTTATTTTTCAAATATTATTGGGCCCAATGGAATAGCAGAGCAGCTAAAGTCCTTGCCTTGAATGCGCTGGGATCCCATACGGACACCAGTTTTAATCCCAGTGGCCCCACTTCCCCTCCAGCTCCCTGCTTATGGCCTGGGAAAGCAGTCAAGGACGGCCCAAAACCCTGGGACCCTGCATCTGTGTGGGAGACCTGGAAGAAGCTAATGGTTCTTTGCTTCAGATAAGCTCAGCTCCGACTGTTGCCACTTGGGGAGTGAATCACCGGACAGAAGATCTTCTTCTCTGTCTCTCCTTCTCTCTGTAAATCTGACTTTTCAATAAAAATAAATAAATCTTTAAAAATATTAATTAATTAATTGTATTATTCCATGATACAGTTACATAGGCTCTGGGATTTCCCTTTCCTCCTCCCCAAATCCCTGCCCCGTACTAATTTCCTCCACGTCATTATAACAGTATAGTCCTTCCCAATCAGTCCTAAGTCCATCATATCTACTATTTAAGTGTATCCTGATACTGTAGGCACGGACAATGGCCGAGATTTCTCAATCTTCTACTCGCTCTATAACACATATGCTGACTCTCTCCACCCCTTCTCCATCATTGGGAAAATACAATGAATAAATGCAGACCTCATTGGCACTGAAAAAAAAAAAAAAGAATTGCTAAACAGCCCAATAAAATACATATCAGAGTTAAATTGGTATTATTTTTGAATCTTGCAAAACACCATATCATAAGGAATCACTGCACTGGGAAAGTTGAACGCGATCTTAGAATCTTCCTCTTGCTGAGAAATGCACTAGACAGAGCAGGTAGCGGGAGTTAGAATGCTGCACTTCTCACTGCATTGTCCTGAATGTGTGGAGCCGGGGGCAAGGACTGCCTGAAGAAGACAGACAATGATGTTGCATCTTATGAAACAATTTTTATTTGGTGATTTGGGGAGATCTTTATATATGAAAAAAATCCAGGTGTTATTGAACACAGTGCAAACCTGGCATTTATCTCAAAGACAAGCCATAAAGTGTGGGCATTTGGCAAGCTAATTCTGATGCAGCTTTCTGTTAATGAGCTCCCTGGGACGCAGCAGATGATGGATCAGGTCCTTAGGCTGCTCTCATATACATTTGACACTCAAACCAAGGCTCCTGGCTGCTGCAGGCACATGGGAAGCGTAACAGTAAAAGAAATGTCAATCTTTCTCTGACTTGCAAACAAAACGAACACAAATTTCTAAAAGATTCTAAAAGTACATAAGTCAGAAATGCAAAAAGTTCATACTTGTACCAGTAACCAATAACTCCTTGGGAGCACTCACCCATTTCTTTTTGTTTTTTTTTTTTTAAAGATTTATTTATTTTTATTGGAAAGGCAGATATACAGAGAGGAGGAGAGGCAGAGAGGAAGATCTTCTGTCCGATGGTTCACTCCTCAAGTGGCTGTAATGGCGGGAGCTGAGCCAGCTAATCTGAAGCCAGGAGCCAGGAGTTACCTCCAGGTCTCCCACGCGGGTGCAGGGTCCCAAGGCTTTGGGCTGTCCTCAACTGCTTTCCCAAGCCACAAGCAGGGAGCTGGATGAGAAGTGGGGCCACTGGGATTAGAACTGTTGCCCATATGGGATCATGGTGTATTCAAGGTGAGAACTTTAACTGCTATGCTATCGTGCCAGACCCATTTCAAGCGGGTATTAGGGTATGCTGAAAGGAGAGCTGAGACGTACTGTTAAAATATATTATAGTATCGCCTTCCAACTCTACACAGGCTAAAAAACAGATCCGTGTATCAAAAAATATAGTATGAATTTTAATCACAATGTATAACTAGAGAAGTCAAGGTTTTAAAGATAAACTGGGTATGAAGTGGATACTGCCAATTTACTCAAGTTTCCAGCACACTTTTGAATGACTTTCTTCTTTATCCTATACTTACTCATAATGAAAAATATAAAACAAACAGAAAATGTCACTGGTAGGGAGAATGGTAGCATTTCATAAAACGCGTGTTTCCCCACGTGTATGAAATATATATGAATTATAAAAACAACTTCTAAACAGCATGCACACAGGACTTACCTTTCCAAATGACCCCTGTCCTAATACTTTTAAAAGCTCAAACTGGGAAGGATCTGCTTTTTCATGCCCTTCCTTCACATGATGTGTGATTGCAATTTCTTTGATGCTGCCTTCTTCCTATTGAGGCAAATGGGGGAGAAAACAGAGTTAGAGCTACTTTCTATTCCCTGAAATTAATAACAATGTATACCATATTAAAATCCTTAAATGTGACATACAGAAAATACCTTTCCTAGACCCACCATGTGAACAGAAAACATACATCAAGCAAATATACTTTCAAGTGAAATCTTGGGTAGAATTATACCACTCACTATGTACGCCAATTTCACTTATATGTGACTTTATCGCAATGTCATTCCAAGTATGATTTCATTCTCCATACTAAAAGTCGTTGCAATAAGTACTTCAAAGGGGAGAGGGCAGAGTTTAGCAACTGTGAACATAAACAATCTGTGGTGCTCTGGTGTGTGGCTATATCAGGCAGGAATAATGCCACATTAAAAAAAAAAATCTGTCCACTGGGGGGGGGGGGAGAGAACTGAAAACTGTTCCAGGGTAAACATGAGATTTGTGAGCTTGATATAGCTGCTTTAGTAAGCACGCTGACGCTTCATCTGCTTGGAACACTTTCTGTCCCAGAATAATCTGGGATTTGAGAGAGAAGAAAGGAGTTACTCCAAAACACAAAACCAGGAAAAAAAAATTTAACATTTGGATGGAAGATCAGACACAGAAAAAGACTATTCAGTGTGACTGAACAATGAAATGTATCTGGGTTAAGAGAAGAATTTTTGAAGATAATGGAAACTTGAACACATCTGAGGGAGGGTGTTAGAACACAGAGAAAAACACACATGTACATAGAATTTTACTTGTTTTTGTTGAGATTAGATGATTAAGTAGACCTTATTATATGACACATATACTATATGTGACAGCCAAAACCAACAATGTAAAATCAGAAACATAAGCCCATCCAATAAAGATGATGATCAGCTCTGTTTTGTTGATTACAATGTATCGTGTTCTAGGCGCATTAATACTCTTAGTGGAATCTAAATGTGTTATACAAACTGAAGTAATTCCTTTTGTTACTATTATATTCCAAACGCTTAAACTAATGTTATCTGAGGTACCCTTAGAACGTTGGTAATATAAGGAATTATGAAGAGTTCTCAGAAACATGGAGCAGAAGATCCTAACACAGCAGGTTCTGGATCTGAACAGCACAATAACTTACGGTAAAATCCCATCTTCCGTGACTCTTTCTCAAGTGCCCTCAAAGACTATGCAGATGCAAGTTAGGGACCCCTCCCACGCTCCTAATGACCGGTGTTTTTTTGGGGCCTGCTGCACAGCCATCTTCTCAGGGCAACTCTTCAGTTCTGGTTGAATTCACTGTTTTCAATCTCATCTCTCTCTTACATTACTCTTGTGTAACTTCTAAGATGACATGCAGTAAACTTTCTGAACCTCACACATCTGTATGAATTTGTCTTCACCTTTGTATATTTTATTTTGATAAAAAAAAATTTCTAGAATAAAAATATCTTGCCTCAGATTTTGATATCTCTGGCCCATTCTTTTCTAGTCAGCACTGCTAATGAACTGGCCAGCTTATACCTTTTCATAGTGACCTTGTTTTTCTTTCTGGAAGCTTTTAGGATTTTGTCCTTGCATTTCTGAAATTCCACTCTAGCGAAATAAAGGAGCCTTCTTTCTTTCAGAATGCAACATGGTTGATAAATCTATATAACCTTTCTAAAGAACCTACATTTTTACAAATCTGTTGAGGATTTTTTTTAACTTAATATTTTTTATTGGTGATGCATTCTGACCTTAAGTAATTTCAAATGCATTCTAGTAGTTGATCCTTTACAACCATTAGGATGTGGAAAACACAGACAAAATATATTCCCTACTCAAAATCAAGTTTGAATTTGAGGCTGATGGGGATATATGGTTTAAAAACCTACATGACAACACAAGTAGGCATTTTAGGTGGTAAAGATAGCACTGGAATAAGGAAGATGTATATATTTTTTTAATATTTTAATTTATTTTTTAAAAAATGATCTTACTTAGTTGATTAGGGTACAAAGAGTCAGGAGCTACTGGAAAGTGAGTAATGTTGAGGATTCTAACATTTCTTCGACAATGTCCTTCTATCCTTGTCCCAGTGCTTCTTTTTCTACTAGTCCGGAGTGGAATCCTTTATGTTACTATTTTGTGTCTCCACTTAAAAATTTTTTTTTTTTTATTTATTTGAAAGGCAGAGTGACAGAGGAGAAAGAGAAACAAGATTTTTCACTTGCTGTTTCACTGCTCAAATGGCTACAAGAGCAAGGGCTGTTCAGGCTGAGGTCAGGCTGATGACCTAGTATGTAGGTGGCAGGGCCCAAGTACCTGGGCCATCTTCTGCTAAACTGCCAGGTGCCTTAGCAGGAAAACAGACTGAAGTAGAGCAGCTCGGACTTAAAGCAATGCTCCAATATGGATGTCAGCTTCGCAATATGTGGCTTTATTGCTTTTGCCACAATGTTGATCCCTCTGTCTCCACTCTGAGTACCTATCTTCCTGTCTTCATACTATTTTATTCTGGTAAATCTTATTTTAAAATAAGATTAAGTGTTCTCAGTCCTTTAAACAAACCTTATTTTTAAAAAAAAAAACTTATTTGAAAGGCAGGAAGGCAGGCAAACACACACACACACACACACACACACACACACACACACACACAGAGAGAGAGAGAGAGAGAGAAATTCTTGTATGCACTGATTTGCTTCCCAAATGCCTGCAACCAGCTGAAGCCCGAGCTGGGAATGCCACACAGGGCTGCCACAGTGGTCATCACTTGCTGTCTTCTAGGGTCTCCATTAGCAGGACGCTGAACCAGGAGCAGAGCTGGAAGTCAAACTGTGGATTTTTCATATAGCATACAGGTATCCCAACCGCTATCTCAATCCCTGTGCCAAATGCCTGCTCTTTTCTTTTTGAGAGCATCTTCCCCTACTCCCTACCCTTGCCCACCAAAAGTGTTGTAATCATTCCAAATGTGTTTGAGCACAGAAAATTTTCTTGGGGGTAGAGAGATTAGTTTATGTGACAAGTATGACATAAACCCAAGTTCCTAAAACCTCTCATTGCTTTATCCTGAACACATTTTTCTGTTTCTTCTAGACATAACATTTTTATAATTTTCTATTTACACACACACACACACACACACACACACATGCCTCACTGCCTCATGAGGATTTAGAAATGAATCTGAGGTCCAACTAGGACATCATACTAATGCTTGGGCAATCTTGGACAACAGGTGGAAAAACAGCAATGTGCTCTTCTAGCTCATAAATGGAATCCAACAAGAGATGCAGAAGGGAATCAAATTTCTGAAGGCACTGATAGCACCAAGAACAGACTGACATGTGCATGTGACACATGTATCTTGTGTCACCTAATCACTTGTTCCTGAAATAAAACTGCCACATGAAAACTAAAACTACAACTTGACAGGCTGGAAAACTATGGTTTTGCCCATAAGTACACAGCGAAGCAGCCAGGATCTTAAAAAAAAGTTTTATATTCTCTGTATATTATTTTATGTTTTGTTGTACAATAAGTATTTTCTTGTAATAATAATACTTTAACTGTATTTCATCTTTAGAATTTTATTTATTTATTTGAAAGAGTTAGAGACAGACAGCCTAATCGTCCATGTCCTGGTATACCCAAAGATAGCCATGACAGCCAGAGCCAGGCCAGGAAGAAGCCGGGAGCTTCATCTGGGCTTTCCATATGGGTGGCAGGGGACCAAACTAATTCTGCTGCTTTTAACCATTAGCAGGAAGCTGGATCTAATGTCATGCAATTAGAACACAAACTGGTGCCCACATGGGAAACCAGTGTCACAATGCTGCCTCCAACACAACAATATTTCAAATGGCACATGCTTCTGACCTATGACACACCCTACTGATAGCAGTCCTTTTTGCAACAAGGCTATTCAAATTATGGACATGGTCCTGTGTTAGGTATTAGACACTAAGATAAGGAGTATCTGCCCCTGGAGTGGGCATTTGGCATAGCAGTTATGATGTTGGTTAGGATGCTCATGATGCTTGGTTCGACAATATGCACCTCTGGCTCCTGACTCCAGCTTCCTACTAACTCAGACCTGAGAGTCAGTAGACATAATTCAAATAATTGGGACCCTGCACCCAGGTGACAGACCTAAGTTGAGTTCTCAGCTGATAACTTTGGCCCTTGTTATTTGTGGAGATCTAGCTCATTTGCTTTCTCCCTTTCTTCCAAAGAAATAATTTTAAAAAACAAGGCCAGTCCTCCAGGAATTTACTGGAATTTCAAGGATTATTATTTGAGTATCTATTCACCTGGTAGGTAAAACAAAGTCAGCACAATTAATAAAACAAAATTTAAAAAATCAGAGTTTAGACATTGCAGAAAAACAGCAAAAGGAAACCCATGGTCAGGTGGATCTTTTTGTATTCCTCCAGTTACATAGAAAGCCACAGTGTGTCTTTCCCAGGATCAACAAAACGTCCTTGGGTCTTACATAGACTTGAAGGTTCATCCATTAGTATGGACAAACGGAATGTTTCCTTTTCAAGCTGTGAAGGAAAAATACAACTTTGACACTAATATGTAAAAAGGATTAGAGAAATGGGACTATAACTAATGCTGTCTGAGTTATAGGAAACTAATACTGTAACATACTAACATTAAGAAAACAAACCAGGCAATATTAACTGATTTTAAAGAATGATTCAACATTTGGCATTATGCCCTGCCTTGTATACATAATTTCCTTTTTCCTCCCCTCCCTTGAGTCAGGAAGTGTATTCTTAAGGCATTTGTATTTTCTAAATTGTTTTGAATGTCAGAAAATATTACTGAAGCTTTCAGTAAAGCATTTAAATATTCTTCAGGAAAAAAGGCAGTAAATAAGTGTTTCTAACCATAGATATATAGCTGTTTTTGGGGCCTTACAAATGAAAAAATGCATACTTTATCTGTTAAATATAATCCTCAATTGTATCACTTATTATACAGATATCTATTAATTCCATAATACAGCTTATTTTAAA